AAAAGGTGAGTGACAGCAGGACAAGGGGAAAGGGTTTTAAGCTGAGGGAAGGGAGATTTAGGTTGGATGTCTGGGGGAAATTCTTTACAGAGAGAGTGGTGAGGTACTGGAACAGGCTGCCCAGAGAGGTTGTGGATGCCCCGTCCCTGGAGGTGTTCAAGGCCAGATTGGATGGGGCCCTGGGCAGTCTGGTCTAGCATTAGGTGGGATGGTTGGTGGCCCTGCGTGTGGCAGGGGGGTTGGAGATTTGTGATCCTTGAGGTCCCTTCCAACCCTGGCCATTCTGTGATTCTGTGATTACCAAGACACCTCTGTCTTTGCAAAATGGAAATTGCCGTAGCAGAACTAGAATCTTACTCTTGGCTAGATGTTGGAAAACAAGATAAAATCACTGTGAGTGGAACTACAGATTCATGTCCTATGGTGGTAAAGAAGATCTCTTTAGAAACAGTACTTCTGAATCACGAGATAATTGTTTAATGCTCCAACTAGAACTAATAGACCTCTCACAGGCATAGGCAAATCTATTTTAGATGTAAGAGGAAAATCTTTTACAGTTTAAGTTGCACCCTTTGCTTCCTAATGATCATAATTTAGAAAAGAAAAAACCTTCCAGATCCTCCTCCAATGAAGTTATTTACCTGAGCTGTAGCCTGGGAGTCCACAGTAGTCAGTCTGTTGTGAGATTCTCATCCCACTGAATGTCAAAGCCCAAGCATTTCAAGGATGGGATTTCAAAATTACTTAGTGATGACTTAACTTTGTCTCACTAAAGATAAACCACCTTTTATTCCCACTCAGGTCAGCTCACTGATTTCAGCGAAAACACATTTAGAAAGCAGAGCTGAATACTTTCAGAAATTCCACCCATGTAATAAAAAGGAAAAAAAACAACAACCAGCAGGCAGGAACTGACATAAATCATTTAAGACTTCACAATGCATAAAAAGTCAAGTATTTTTGTATATTTGCATTCATTACATGTCATTGAAATCACTTTTAGCTGCTTCTTGAAATAACAATCTCAAGTGCCTTACCTTCTTACTCTTTAGATGCAGCATTCTGTTTATTCTTCGAAGAAAAAACGGTTCCGTCCAAGCATGGCAGGCTGTGCTAAGAATAATAGTTCCATTCAATGATTCAAGGGAAAAATATACTTATTTATCTCAATATCTGCATTTCAGACATCATAAGCATTATTACCGAATAACACTGATCTTGGTTTAGGCTTCACTTTTGTCCCACTTTGCTTTCTGCAGCACTATGTTCAATAACAGTTTAGCTTCGTGCACGGCCAGCATCTGTTCTCACCTATACAAAAACCTAATAAGCTTAAGAATACTGTTCTTTGCAAAAATAAAAGTTAAAAGACAGATGCATAATTTCCCCAGTTTTTATAATTCTGTGGCATTTGTATAAAAAAGTATTTTGAAAATGATGCATAGCTCATTTCATTCATAGCAGAGAGCAAAATCATAAATTTTAAGAATAGTCTCCAAAATGATTTTTTTTTCTCTTGTGATGATTCAATTGAAATGCATTTCAACTTCTTAGAACTTTACTGAAACAATCTAATTTTCACTGGTGCTGACCATATCTAGAGTACCTTACTAAGAGTTCAAATGCATTTCTTAACTAGATTCTGGGGTTTAATGATCTATTCCAGTTATTTAAAACAGTAGCTTCGCACTGTAAGTTTCAGGAGACTAAAGCAAAGGCTTACATTAAAAGCACTGCCCTTTTTTATGTCACTGAAGTTCTGAGGAAGAAGCACTGTCCCAGGATGACACCGATAAGTACAGTTAAATATGTGCGTAAAAACATGCAGAACAGAAGTTTCTGTTTCTGGGCCCAAAATATCTGACAGTACTAAATAAAATATATATATATATATATAAGTATAGACTATAAGTATATATACTTATATACTATAAGTATAGACTATATAGTATAAGACTTTTAGCAAGACAAATGGTATTTTGGTGCTCTCAGATAATGTGTGTGTATATATCATATATACTTAGATATATATATATATATATAAAGAAACATTCTTATCTATGCAAGGGATCCAGTAATTTAGCATCAAAGCAGACAAGTGTCATGAAAATGGTCCAGATTTGCATGCACCACCACCAAGCCTGACAAACTGTACTATGCCTTACTGATAAGCATGGTTCGATTTTCTTTGCAAATTCTCTCTTGTTTGACTAATGGTTGGAAGACCAAGCCTATAGCCAGCTTAAACCTCTGCAGCTTGCAGTAAGAACACAAAAAAATAAACATAAGTATGTACTTAAATATTTATTTATGATTATTTTATTATTCTACTGCTAGCACTTTCTACTGGAGCTATGCTGCCAACATTTCCCATACAGAGTACGGCTGTAAAGCAGCTTCTACTGTGAAGTCATTATTATGTTATTAAAATAATTGGACGCCTAGAAAAAACAAACAAACAGAAAACACCCACAATATAAAATTAAATCCTGAACCAATGTTACCATGTCAAAATTTAAGGATCCATTTTAACTAATTATTAACACTTACATCCATAACCACAGCCGTCCGTGGCTCTGGAAAATAATTAATCCCGAATATAAAGAAGCCCCACTCTGAAAGAGAACTCAGAGCAAAAGGGAACTGTGTCATTATGATCACCATAATCTCCATCCTCACAAACTACTCCAGAGATCAGGAATTATCCCAGACTAATTTTCAAGACAAAAACTTCCCTCTACACATCTCGTAGGCATGCATGCTACAGCTCATGCTTTTTCATTTCAGGATACCTCATGTGCCAAATGACCAACACGAAGGCTGACAGGCTCTGACATGGCAATGCACGTATGCTAATTTAAATGAAATGGCAGCATACCTACATTTTAAAATAGCAAGAAGAAAACACTTACCTGAACTTGGCAAGGCACCTCTTAGCTGCATCAACACTATTGCACGAATGAGGACTCTTCCTTGCAAATACATTAGCTCTCTTCAGATCATTATTCTGTGGCGCAGGCTCCTCCAAATGGCAGAATGAATGTATTGCCATTATTGAGCATTTAGATTTAACCCGAAGAAAATAAAACCAAAAGCAAGAAATACAGCAGTATTATTTTAATTATGTAAGCTGCAAAGACTTTATTTGTCAAGAACTTGTTATTTATCAACAGCATTTAAAAGCACCCAGAGGATATGTAAACATACCGATTGGTAAAGCAAGCATCAATGGCTTTTGCAATGAAACCAGATGGACAGTTCATTTCAGCAGAGATGAATAAGTAAGGAGCTTTCATTAAAAGCTATTATGGAGCATCACTAAAATAAATTTTTAAGCTGCTTCTTTCACAGCAGACGCTTCTAAGGATATTTTCACCTGGGAGCTGAAATGTATTTTTGTAACATTTACTTGTAATTTAGAAATCTCTTTAAGTAGTTCAGTTATTCCTTCCACTAAGAGTTATTTTGTAATTGCAAGTACTGAATGACATTTACCATTATTATGCTAATGCATCTTTCTTTAGAAGACTGCCCTCCAGTTCCTCACAACTTTCTCTAACTTTACCAAATGTATATAGAATTTTACTTTGGATGCTTATTTAAAGACAAAAGTAAACACTTCTGCTGTAGAGTCTTAAGGCATAACTTGATGAACCCCTATTTTGGTTAGAAGTACTGAACAGATGACCTTCTTGCTGCTTATCTGTTCAGACAGGTGAAGACAGATGAGACAAATGTTGTATAATGTGCCTACCTAGGTTCTGCTTGGCCCTTCATAACTTTTAACTCCACTACCTAATTTCAGTTTTGTGAAAGAGCAGCAAAAAGCACTTACAGTTTTGCATGTGTTCAGAGATGTCAGAATTCCAAGCGCTGGACAGGTGAATAGAAACGACAGAGCCACAAACTGCACAAACCAACTGAAGGCTGCAGCATGTAGCCACATTATTAAAACACTAGTACAGACATAATAGAAACAGCTTATAAACATCCCAGCAGCAGCTGGTACCTCTAAGGCATATAGCTATGTAGGAAACTAGGCTCTATTAGATCTGTGCTTGACTGTATTCAAGTACCTCAGTATTTACATCAGTTAGCTTGGCATTAAAATATGAATCCTTGGTCTGCAAATTCCAGATACGTCAGTTTAGAAGTGCAGCACATACACCAACTGACAGCTCCCAGTCTTCTGGCACAGCATCACTTCCTAAGCAGAGGCATTCTTAGCAGCTCAGCCACTTCATTCTCTAGAACCACAGGAGGAACTGCATGTAGTCCTTGTGACCGAGGGGTCTTGAGAATTTGAGCATTCAATTTTTTCATTCTCTAATTCAATGATCAGATAATGTCCCATCTACATTGTCTGAAAAGAATGGAACGTTCACAACATTCTTTGTGGCAAAGAGTAACGTAAAGAATTCACTCAGCTCCTTCATAGAACCTTTTATTTCTTTTAATTGCTTTCTATAGTTCCTATAGACCTATAGGAGATCTATCTAGTCCTTAATACTCTACTTACATCAGCTGATATCTTAGACCCTTTTTTAATAAAAACATAGAAGCTACCAAGTACTTCCCTGAAATACACTGCAGTAAGACAGAACAACAATCACATGTGGATATTTAATATATTTGGAAGGGTCAAATATTGTACAAAAATATTTCCAGTCACATGAATGAGAAAGTGATTTGGCTTTTTGCAGTGAGTCATTTTGAGACTTCCTCACTTATCACCAACTTTTTTGATAAAGGGTAGATGTGGCACTCAGGGATAAGGTTTGGTGGATACGGTCAACAGTGATGGGTCAAGAGCTGGACTGGATGATCTTAGTGATCTTTTCCAGCCTTGATCCTATGATTAAAATAATTAATTTGCAATATTAAATGGGGAAAGTGAAAGAAGTATCAGTAGGTATACATTTTATCCAAACACAGGAAGGGAATCTGTATGAGTTCGGCATACATCTTAATGAGAAGAATCACACTGCTGTCAGTCAAAACACAATTTCTTAAATAATGAAAAAGCGTCCATCTTGAAACTCATTCAGCACATTATTTATTCAAGTCAACCAGCTGTGGCAACATCTATGTACACTCAGAATGTACACAGTACAACATCACTGAGCGTTGTTTGTTCAATAGTTTTTGAACATAAGAATTCCTTCTCTCGTGCAGTGTCCTTGCTTTGGAAGTTTTTGGGGCCTCAAATCTTTTTTCTCAGACTGCTGATCTGCACTGATGGCTTTGTACAAAAGCCTCAGTGCCAGAAGTACCTGAAATAGCCAGAGTCAACTTGAGCCCATTGACACAGCTCAGCTGCAAATAAAAGCATTGCATTTGCTGGCACTATACTGCAACTAGTTCCAGAATCACAACCAAAACAATTATATGCTAAAAATATAGAACTACATACAAGGAATTCAATGAAATACACAAAAAGGCTTTTTTGTTTTTTTTTACTGTTTTAAATCTTACAAATTTGACCCAAGTTTTATCTCTGTACTACAGTATAACAGAATAAATAAAGTTAATTGCAACATCTGGATAGGGCTTAGCTTATTTAATTGGCGCTTTATAAATTAAATATCTATTTGCACAATACAACTGTGATAATCATTGCAACTGACCTCAGAGGCAATCTAGTTGAACTTCCTGCTCAAAGCAGCATTAATATATGAATACTCATTAATGACAGGTCGTACACCTGACCTTACAGACCACTAATCACATGTAATCCTTAATGAAATGCATTCAACGGCCTTTGAGGGCACTACTTATCTGAAGAAGGATTTGTAAGACCAGCTATTTGCCACACTTTGTTTCTAGCTATGGTGTATCACAATACCTCCCTAGCTAGGCCTGTGAACATCATCACACTTCAACAGTCAACATTCTGTAAGCAGACACTGCTTTGAGAGCAATTTTGGAACTGGGCTTGCCATACACAAGCAGATGGTAGTCTACAAGAACAGGATGGAGTGAAGCAGGGGGGATAAACTAGTAAGTGAGGTAGGAAGCACAGAGCTGAGTTCTGCCTTCAGGAATGTGTCACAGATTGAGGAACATAGGATAGAACAATTCACTCCACTGGCATCAGCAGTCCCCCCTCCATCCATACCAATGACCAAACTCCAGTACAATAAGTTTGGGAACCTCTGCTTTAGTACCATGGTTTTACTTCCTTCCTCTATTTTTACTCTGATAAGGATCTCCATTTTGGATTTGTATTCCATTTTACACCTTTTTTCATGCAAGAAGATGTGATTTAATATGGCATAATAGTACTAGTAAAAAAAAAACACAAACAAGAACAACAACAAAACAAACAACAACACAGAGACAATTTAAATGTAAAAAGTTGAAATATGTTATAAAGCACAGTTACCCAACAACACAATTACAAAGGAAATTTATATTAATTCAGTAATGCCCCTCTGTTCTGAAACATGAAATACAGTAACAGTTTATTTACACTGCACAGTGATGCATGAACTCTGCCAAGCTAATTAAACAGGAAAAAAACCTTCATATACTAATATTTTAAGTATTTATATTAGCATGTAATAAATAACTTCAGATATTAATACAGCATAATTAAAATTAAGTAAATAATGGAAGGAGAACTAAAGTTCTTTCTTTAGTTCATTTATTAGGATTGCAGAGTAATTTCAGAGGCTACTGAAAGCCATAAGCATGTTCTTTAAGTGTTAACAACCACAAGAGCAGCAAGATGCAGAAAAGAGAAAGACTGGCTGCAGACTGTAGCAACTTTGATAACCTTATTCTTGTGCCTAACTGAAAAGCATTTTTGAACACCAGTGTTTTAAGAAATCCACTGATGATCTTTTAAATTGTTCTAAAATGGAACTTAAACTCGTCAAGGCATTACTCATATGCCTTCTCAAATCAGCTGTTAATAACATAACCACTGCTGCACGTAATGTTGCAACCATCTGACTTGATCTACTGATTCTTAAAGTAGAAGGTACTCCAGAAAACCTAGTTTACTCTTACATACCTGAAAAAAAAAAAAAAAAAGTTAAATTCACACCTTGCCATAGAAGTTTCCTGCCAGTGTACCACTGCATTAACCACACAACTAGGAAAGGGAGATGCTTAAAAAAAATGCAGGTAGGAAGCTACTGCAAAACTATAAAGCACCTGTAGCATCAAGTAAAATCCAGCAACTTTTGTGCAGAACACAAATCAGACTGAGCACCGACCTGGCTTAGGAGTTCTGATGCAGGAAAGAAGCTCCAGCACTGACTGCACACACAAGGGGCCCCAGTCACTGAACAGCAAGAAATAGGTATCAAGCAAGCACAGAAGGGCCACAAAAATGATCCAAGGGATGGAACACCTCCCTGTGAGGACAGGCTGAGAGAGCTGGGGCTGTTCAGAATGGGGAAGAGAAGGCTGGGAGCAGGGAGACCTGAGAGTGGCCTTTCAGTAAAGGGGGGCTGTAAGAAAGAAGGGGACAGACTCTTTAGCAGGGTCTATTGTGATGAAAGAAGGGGAAATGGTTTCAAGCTTGAAGAAGATACAGTTAGGTTAGATACAAGGAAAATTCTTTTAGAGCAAGAGTACTGAGGCACTGGAACAACTGTGGTGGATGCCCCATCCCTGGAGACTTCCAAGGCCAGGCTGGACCAGGTCCAGGGCAACCTGATCTAGCTGTGGTGTCCCTCTTTGCTGCAGGGGAGTTGGACTAGATGACTTTTAAGGGTCCTTTCCAGCACTAATGATTCTATGATATGAAATTAGACGCAATTAGGCCAGCAAGTTGCAATGCATGACAATGAGAGGGGTGATGAATACATGCCAGCAAAAAAGTAGTACTAACATCTGGTTACAGCTAGAAGTTGAACTACTGATGTTTCAGGCACCACAGGGGGGAAAAAAAGTATTGAAAATAACAGATTTTTTTTTCTTCTTCTTTCTCCCTTGTCTCTGTCCCACATGCAAGCAGCAAAGGAGCCAAGAGCTACAAAGAAAAAAACACTCCACAACCAGTTTGGGAATTTATCTATTTATTTGAGAAGGATGATGGTCTTCAGGCTTAAAATGTTTGGGTTTTGAGGGTGAAGAACCACATGTATTACAGCAACCAGCATAACAAAACTCAACTGTGATGCAGCCTTTAAGCACCACCAGAAAATAAAACAGATATGTAAGAACTCTATCCAGCATTTCATAAGGACAGATTGTTTTCAGTTTGATTAACCCCACCTAAAGGAATTCAGATTCATCAACCATTTCTAAATATGCATTAACACTAAGCCTAATGCTTGATTTTTAAATTTAAACCTCAGGAAAACCTACAATCCAAAAACGAGGGGACAATTCAAGCTTAGGAAAGGCTTTGCTTACAGCCAGGTGTGAGCTCACACAGAATTAGCCCCAGCAAGTTTAAAATACGACTTCCAAGACTCACGCAGTTCTATGAGAAATTGGGAAAGCATAGAGTTGTTGGCAATTCAAGGAAGATTAGATGGGAAAACTGTTTTTAATTTCTTGAGAATAAGCTTTCTGTGCATTTGTAAAGCACTTGCTGGAAAGTTGATCCTTTGCTCATGCATAATGTCAGTAGCTGTAACACTACAGCATCTTTACAAATAATTTCGAAAAGCATCCTGTGTGGAGAGCAAAAAAAATATTCAAGTTTAAATAAGAAGACCACAAGATAATGGTTGCCAAAATCTACCCAGATTTTAGCACAAGTGTCTATGAGTACTCCTGGGAAAAGTCTCAAATGGACAAGTAATATTCATCATACTGCTACCATCTGAACCAAGTTCAGCCGGCAGGGTATTCAGAAACTTTCCAAGCGTCACAAGGGCTTAACTTTTCAATACATTTGATTACTGCATATTTTCAAGAAATTAAAACGAGAGACTCTCAAACTAACTCTGAAAACAGAATGAAAGAATTGGGTACTTTTAAAAAGAGTGGTATGTTACTTCCAACCCTGTGTGCTTGCTCAAATATAGTTTGGAGTTGATTTCCCTTTTACCAATACAGAGAAAAGAGAAGCAATAGAAACCAGCATCATCCCCATTTGCCTTCAGTAAAACACTGCCTTCAGATATTACTGCTGAAAAGAACCGCTTTCTAAACTCATGAATCACCTTCCTGATACAATGTCTTGGGATTCTGTCAAGAGTCAATCATTTAGAAATACACTCACAACTAAGAGAAAAGAAATTACACCTCAGAAATCTCAGACTTTTGCGCAGAAGAACAGAAAAACCAGTACAAAACCTGAACTCAGGGAAAAGGGAGATCCAAATAAAACCTCCTTTAGGTGAAACATCAGTTACACACACACACACAACAGTATGAGACTAGAAACCAACACATCTTGTTTGGATGTCAAATATTACCTAAATTGAAAAAAGTATATTTCAAAACACTTTGCTTGTCTAAACTTTTTTATTATTATTATTTATTATTATTTTGAACATTATTTAACGAATACAACCCCAAACTTCCACACCATTTTTGAAGTCCTCACTGTTGTATAAACAAGTTAACCAAGATCTTTGTGCTTACCAAAACCCAACTTCATTTGGACTGCTGTTATATTACCTCACACTGGGTTCAAGTCAATTCCTTACATTCCCGTTAAAATATTTGTTCTACACGATGCTGACCTGCACTAGGAGTAGCAATACAACCCCATTGTGCACGGCATTCAGTTTGGGCCCCTCACTGCAAGAAAGGCATCGAGGCCCTGGAGTGTGTCCAGAGAAGGGCAGTGGAGCTGTGAGGGGACTGGAACACAAGTCTGATGGGAAGAAGCTGAGGGAGCTGGGATTGTTCAGTCTGGAAAGGGGAGGCTGAAGGGAGACCTTACTGCTCTCTGAAACTTCCTGAAGGGAGGTTGTAGTGAGCTGGGTGTTGGCCTCTTTTCTCACATAACCAGTGATACGACTGGAGGGGATGGCCTCAAGTTGCACCAGGGGAGATTCAGGCTGGATGTTAGGAAATGCTACTTTTCTGAAAGAGTGGTCAGGCACTGGAATGGGCTGCCCAGGAAGGTGGTGGAGTCACCGACCCTGGAGGTATTCAGGGAATGTTTAGATGTTGTGTTGAGGGACATGGTTTGGTGACAACTATTAGTAATAGGTGGATGGTTGGACTGGATGATCTTGTAGGTCTTTTCCAATCTTGGTGATTCTATGATTCTGTGATGCTGGCATACAGCCAAACTACGGGTAGCATCCAATGGACAACAATCACAACTGGAAAACATCACTGGTTTCATGATATTGAAGCTACATTGCATCAGGGATATACTCCTGAAAGCAATCCAGTTCTGGAAATCCCGAAGCTACTAAGTTTTGATTATTGCTCCATATTGTGTTAGAGTCTGAAACGTACAAGACATAGCACAAGGAGATAAAGTAACTCAAAGAGCACAATGAAAACTAAGACAATGTGCTTAAGGTGTTCGATTATTTCGATAGTTTGATAGTTTCTCTTTCTGCTATAGTGTAAAGATGCTCCTGTTAAGGATGACAAAGTAAGAGCTGGGGTGGGGAAAAATTAATTAAAAAAAAAAACACCTTTAACTGTGAGCAGCAAATAAATTTCTCCTCTTTGTCTAGGTTACACAGGTTACACACTGTAGTAGGGAAACAACATAGAATTTATTTTCAAAAGGTCAGAGGGGAAAAAAAAAGTCCTAAGAATATTTTACAAGAGGTTTCCACTGCAGAGAAAAGGATTTAAACAGGTCAGCAGGTGACTGGATGAACTCAGCCTCATGCTTTGGCTACTGACTTCATAACAAAGATCTCCCTTTCTCCAGTTACAATACCAGAATGCAACAGCCAGGGCATGCTGTGCGTACATATCAATATCAGTAATGCTAGCAGCAATGCAAGAATCTAACTTGTGGACTTGAAGTTAGTCATGAAATGCAGGAAGGTTTACAACTGCAGTAATCTTGACTTTTTATACACAACAACTCAAAATTCACTCTCAAAATTGCAATCGTCAGGACTGTAAACTCATCCTAGATGTGTACGTATATATATATATATATATATATATATACACACACACACACACACACACACACATCTATTATATTAATATTAATATTAATCATGTATTTAAGCATTAAACAGGGAAAAAAGAGGTATACATGCAGTCAGTTAATTACTGTATCAGTCTTACATTCTCAAAAAGGCATTTTATGTGTTTAAATTTTAATTTCATATGGTTTTGGTAAAAGAAGAGAGCAGTACAAGCAAACCCTGAAAAACAAAACCTTTCAAGCAGAAGTTTTCAGTTGGTGTCTCCCACTCTGCATCCAGTTTCTCAAGAACCAGCCTTGCAGTGACAATCTGGTTAGAAGCATGCAGCCAACGGGTATGTAATTTGCATGCAAAAATATTTTTAGAAGACACACATGAACAGCACATGTTCTCAGCCTGAGTACAATCTGCTATCTATACACACAGAGTATTATTTCCCCAAAGTTCAGAGTTAACTTCCAGATAATTATTCCATCCACTCTTTTGAAATCGCAAGGCATATCCAGCCCTAAACAGCACTCCAAACTGTATTTGAAACTTCTACTCTTCTCATGTTAACTAGAGCCAGTTTAAGAAGGTGAAGATGGAAATGAATAAAACCAGACATAAGCCACGTGCCCATCGTTCATTGTTAGCTCATTAAAACTAAACCAAATTTAGACAGACTGACACAACATGGAAACAATATTTGAATAAACAGCGAGTCCAACCAGATCCCAGTCGTGACCAGTCCACATCTGGAACATCCAAACCAATTCCTGGTGACTCTGGAGTTTGCATCACACGGTAACTATTACTTCAGCGCTGCTTTGTTCGGGCTGAACAAAGTTCTATTGAATTGTGAACTGAAAACCTCCATTTCTTTTCTCTGCCAACACATAAACCCTTCCCCACACATGTGGGAAATTCCCTCGTTATACACAAAAACTCAGCTCTGGATGCCTTCCTCGGCCCAAGCTTGCCTTGATTTGACTTGGATGTCTGGGAGGAACAGAAGTGAACACCGGGAAATTACTCTGTGGCACCTCACAGCACACACAGAATACCCGAGGTAGAAGTTAATTTATCAGGAATTAGGCTCACCGGGGGAACAAAACCAAACGAACAACAACAACAAAAAAGCAACCACCAAGCACAAACAACCACAGCCCCCAGGACAAGGGCGGCATCGGCTGCCTTTAAAGCCCCAGCAGCATCAAGCCGTGATTTCTCATTGCTCACAGAAGCAGAACCCACGCTAGAGCTTTTTCAAAGTCAGCCCAGATTAAGAAGTGGGGGGGGGAAAAAAAAAAAATCACCTCAATCCTTCCGAAGCACACACACAAGCCAAGGGCTTTCACCAGACGATGCTGGGCAGCACACACGTGAAGCAACAGCTTATGTTTGGTGGGAGCCGCAAACAAAACCGCCACGGCCTCCCAGCACGGCCCGCTGCCCAACAAGGGACAGCACGGAGCCGAGCCGCGCCCACCCAGCGCCGCTTCATCCCGAGGCTGCTCCGCGAGACGCGGCCCCAGCAGCCACAGACCGACCCCTCCGAAGGCCGCCCCGACAGGAGCTCAGCGCTGCCCAAGAGAAGCGGGAAGCGGGAAGCGAGCCGCTCGGAGCGCGGCCCGGAACGCCGCAGCGGGAGCAAACGCGGCACAGCCGAACGCCGCCCCCGAACCCCGCTACCGCCGCCCCGGGCGCCCTTCCACCAACGCTCCGCGCCCGGCCCCGCCTATCCGCCCGCGGGGAAGCGCTGCGAGGCGGCGGCGCCCTCCCTGCCGGCCCCGCCCACCGCGAGCGGGGAGGAAGGGGAAGAAGGGAAGCGGGGAGGAGAGTACCTCCGCCGCTCGCCCCGCCGCTGCCGCGCAGCGCTCGCCCGCCCGTTGGCTGCCGGGAGCGGCATGGCGGCCGGAAGCGGCGCGCGGCGCGCGCGGACGGCGGCGGCGCTGGAGGCGGTCGGTGAGTAGCGGTGTGCGGCGGGCCGCGTACCGCCTCCGTGCGCCGAGCTAGCGGCGGGACGGCGGCCTCGCGCGTTCCTAAATGCCGACTGAGTATTTCATGTCAGTAGCTGCGCGCGTCTTTGTTTGGGTGGCGCTGGCTGATGGCGGGGCTGGGCGGGACGCCTACGCGGCGAGACGGCAGTGCGTGCACGTGTGCGTGTGGGCGCGCGCTGAAGCGTGTTCCCCCGGCGCAGGTTTCCCACGTTGACGTGATGATTAACGGCATATATTCTCTCTCCCACAGCCCTCCCGTAGCGCGTGGATCGCTCTCGATGCGGAATGACGCCAGGGCGGTCGGGCCAGGCCTCCCCGAGGCGGCCGAGCACCCCCGGGTGCTGAGGAGAGGCTGTGCCCGCTCCCAGCCCCGCCCCGAGCTCCTGCCTCGGGCAGCCCCAAACATCCGTGTCCCCTTAGGCCGCGTTTGCACCTGAATCGCCTCCTTCTTCCCCTAGGAGGGCTCAGTGATGAGTCAGTGGCACGCTCGGTCCCTCTTGTGCACCCCGTGAAAGCATTCACTAGGAGAAATCTGGCTGCGGGAGAAACTTCTAGAGCAGCGCAGCCGTCACAGTGCAGGCTGAGTTGTTTTGTGGTGTCGTCAGATGTTTTGAAAGGAGTGTATAAACAGGTGGGGGAACATCTGTTTATGAGGGTGATAGTGATAGGACAAGGGGGAGTGGCTTTAAACTGAGACAGGGGAGGTTTAGGTCAGATATTAGGAGGAAGTTTTTCACACAGAGGGTGGTGACGCACTTGAAGGAGGTTGTGGATGCCCCATCCCTGGAGCCATTCAAGGCCAGGCTGGATGTGGCTCTGGGCAGCCTGGTCCAGTAGTTGGTGACCCTGCACATAGCAGGGGGGTTGGAACTATATGATCACTATGGTCCTTTTCAACCCAGGCCATTCTATTACTCTGTGATCAGTTTTTATCTTCCTTCAGCCTGCATTAGGCTTTTCTGCAGGAAAGTGATGTCCCCACGTGCAACCTGTGTGATGCCAACGTGTCCTGTTGGTGCTGTGCTTACTGCACTGTGCTTTGTTACAGTTTTTTTCTACCGCTGTGATGTGAATATTTATAGTTGCCATCTCAGGTAAAGAAAGCTGACTTGTGTAATAACAAACACGTCTAACTAACGCCACAGGCAGTGTGCATGACTTTTTCCTTTGGACCTCAGTTTATTTTCTTCCTCTTTCTTCAGTACCTTCTTGATGCAGGAGAGAAGGTGGTGGCTTACAGGAGCTTCATTTTAAGTGTCCTTTTAACCTTTAAGCACTGAAATTTTCTCTGTGATATAATCACTGTTCTGTCACATGCAGTTTGTAACTGATTTTTGGTTTTGTTGTACTGTTTCCCCAGGTATCGCTCCTACTTTCAAGGTTCCTTTTGCTGTAGAAATTCCTGACCTGCCTTTTCCATGTTCTCTTCCTTCTGCCCTGTCACCTTCACAGCTCACCATATCTTATAGACCAATCTGACACACTAGAACAGCAGGAAAACCTCCTGTGTATTCCTGGGTTTCCAGCTGTTTTGCGCTCAGCGCGTGGGTCATAGGGTGAGCTGACAGAGAACATGATGGAGGGGAAGAGCTGAGAAAAGAGAGATGTAGTGATGTCCCTATAGACAACACTGAGCCATGAGATCAACTTAGCTGTCCAAGGAGCCATAACATTGCCTGATAACTGCACCACCACCGCAGCACAGTTTGCATAAAATTTCTGAAGTACCCAGGATAAAAGAAGTAGTGTAAAAGTTTTAAAACAACCCAGTAGGCTTGAAACCAAGTTCATATCTTAACACAGATATTACCCATTGCTTGGGTTGTTTCAGTCTGTGACACTGTGGTCTGTAAGTAGCTGTTTTCCATGGCAGCTGCTGATCTGTGGCCCAGTTTTGTACAGTTGTACAAAGGCTGCTGGTAGCTTGTTGTAATATTACAAATGCTGACGTACAGACAGGCTGCTTGGTACTGGTCTTCATGCCTAGGACCAGCAGGCCAATGTTCTCTTTTTTTCTGCATGTGTCTAGAATAAAAGCTCAATTAACAGTTTTGTTAGTCTTTATTCTGTTCATCAGTGCAATCAATGGCATGGGCTCTGGTGACATAGTACTACTGCTGGGTGATTATACCTGGGAAGGCATTGTACATCTCAGAGCAGTACCTCTCCTTTAAAAAAAGAGAGCAGAAGTAACAGGGAGCATAAAGAGAGAATAACCAGGGGGAAAAAAAAGCATGCATTCTTTTTGAGAGGGATGGCAAAATAATCTGTGACTTGCAAAGAAACAAATACTGTTTATAAAATCAAGGCATGCTTAACAAGGAATTACCTTTAGGTTAGCGTTACTCACCTTTTTGAGTGTATGAAGATGATTTGTACTTACGTGGTGAGAAACTGCCTGGAGTTCCAGGCATGTGATCTACGTATTTCATTTAGTCTAGAGACCTGAGACTGCTTCAGGCAAAGCATTTGAATAAAAGTCCTCTGAACAAGCTAGATATGTTTTCTCATTAGTGACGGTATGGAATGTACAGTTAGTATTTATTTTAGTATGTTTGACACAAGTCATTTGTTGTATAAAGAAATCAAATTCCCATCTGGACTAAATATATGGTAATAGAGAATTGGGAGACTGAGATAGTGCTATTGCTGCTGTGTAAGAAAAGAATTGGAGTGCTTGGCTTTCATTTGTAGTCCATTAAACCTGTGTACTTAAAGCCTAATCAATTAATGTTTGCCTGCAGCGAGCCTGGCACCCCGTGGTTTGTAGACCTTCAAGCCCTACTTGAAAACTAACCGTGTTCTCTAAAGTCATGTGTGGATTGATGCTTCTGTCCTCACCTTTTACTGTACCCTGTGATTTTGTAAATTATGATATACCATCTCTGCATGCTGCTGAATGCATTGCAAGTGTCAGTAGGACACGCTGTCTTCTCATTTTGACCCCTTCAAGTGGTCATAGGGGATTGATTTGAAATGAGTTGCTACATTTTACAGGCTGCACTTTGTTGTTGTTATTAATAGTGTTGACCTATAGCATCCTGTCTAGTTCTGTAGAGTCTCTCCTTGGCCACTATTAGCAGTGATTTGGAATCAAACTGGTATTTACAGCTATCCAAGACTGTCTTTTTTCAAAAGGTATTGTAATCTGAGTTAGTTCTGTAGTGTGGATCGGAGCTGAAGGGGCATCGTGCTGTCAGAGAGAGTGTTGGTCAGTAGAAATAATGAAGAAGAAATCATGGCTCAAAGGAAGGTAGTAACCTTGATGACTTTGCTGTTCAATTTCTCTATCTTCCTCCTGAATCTTAAGGAGAGAAATATTGATTGTAGTTATTCTTCCTTTTGAAGTCAGCAGGAACAGCATTGGGTCCCTGTAGTTTTAAGCCTGTTTCTTTGGCTGATTCAGGTTGTTAGCATCAGTGCCAGCGAGGGAATGGTCTTAAGCAGGCTTAAGGAGCAGCTTGCTGATGTGTGTTCTGTTTGTACTGAAGTCTTCCTCCACAAACGTGTGTGTGTATGATAGGTGAGAAAGGCAAAAATTGGCCCTGAATTCAAGAAATCATACAAAATGGAATATGTGATGTCAGTTGTAAAATATGCAATAGATTTTTGTAGCAGTGATACTGCGGAAGAGCTTGTATTTGCTAGTGAGTCTATAACATTGTTAAAGTAATGGGAGAAGTTTCCAAACAGTGACAGCAACAGCAGGGTGCCCTTTGGAGTTGGAAGCAGTTACATTTACAAGCTAAACTTCTTGTTTGTTATGCACCAATTGTACTTCTCTGAAAACTGCTGAAGTGGTGTTTGGGCTTTTAATTATTTCTTTTTTGATTAATATTCCTCCACAGCTTTGTATAACTGTGTGAGATCTCATTGTAGCCATTTTGTAAAGGAAATCAATTTTGTCTGAGTTAGAATATAGTAAGTTGAGATGCTTGGGCAAGGCATCTCCACCCAGTATAGCACACTTGGCAAATAAGTGAGATCTTGAGCATGTAGAGAGTGGATAAGTTTACAGATTCATGGCCTAAAGCTGTTAGATCTAGTATGTGACTTAATTTAAAGTTTTGAGTTCATTAAACATGCTAGAAAATATGTATTTTGAGTCAAGAAAACACTCTTCTGATGTCATTACTGCAAGTTAGTATGGGCTGCATTATTGTTGGTGTATTTTTCTCCCCCCCAAAAAAAATTTAACTGAATTTTTCTTTAATTGTTGTATTCACTTCTTATTTTTCAGGAGTCTTTGAAAAATCCTTAGTGGTCATGACATTGTTACAAGTGAGATAAATTAGCCAGTGGCTCAGAGGGATGGATACCCAGAAGACTACAAATGGTTTGCGCGTGATTGGACAAGGGACTGGTATAGGGAAATCGACACTCCACATGGTGGGGTATTTGGGAAAAGTCAGTTGAAACTTATTTTACATCTGTGCAAAGTTCATATTTTTTTCTCTGTTTTGAGAGATTTTTAATTGGTCTTATTTTACAAAAAAAAAAAAAACAATGAAAAAAAACCTCAACATTATTTTCCACGGAAATCTGTAACAATGGCGAAAGATTCTAAATAGATCTGTGTCTGAACTTCTTACTGGTGCTGTATTTATGACTGTGTATTTCTATATATATTACTTCATATTTCAAAGATCTGAGCATGTGTCCTTTGGTTTAGTATAAGTAGAATGAAATGTTGCATAGTTGTATTATCGAAGCTACCTTACTAAATATTTGAATGCTTAACTCAAAAGATAAATTTGTGTAGTTTGCTCTACACTATGACTATATATCTTATTTACAAGGACAAAACCTAGTCTGCTTTACTTTTTAATATTGAATTAGGTGTTACATGCTTAGAAGCTAGTCATTGCTTTTCTGTCTCTCTGCGTATATGTGTCTTAACTTGGGACACTATATTAACAAATGTAAGTTTATGCAATTTTTTTTCTTTTTTTTAGAGCCATGCTCCTGTGGAAAAAACTTCACCTGACTGTTGTCCAGTCTGCAAAGAGAAGGGCCAGGTTCAAGTTTTACGGACTTACCGCATCAATTTTCAAGAGTCCATTTATCTTTGTGAAAACCCTCAGGTATTACAGTTCTATTTGCTAGTGTAGAGACCTTTGCCAGTAACAGTTAAATATGTTTAAGTTCAAGATTTGATTGGTAGTGAGCAGACTGTTGAAATATGATGCCTTTGATTTTATATTCCGAATGGTGTTAGCTTGTAATATAGACAAAAACACAGCAAACCTCTATGTGTGGTGGTTGGGCACAACTAGCTATTCTGAAGAGTAAAAAGAACAGATTAAAAGGAGTAAGGTAGAGTTTGTTTCACATAACAAGGGGACACAAGTGATACTGAACAAATCTTTGTATGAACCAGAATATGAAGCCAAAATTGGCAAATGCATTTAATTGATGTTTTACTCATAAAGCTGTGAGTCTCCAATTTTCCCCTGTTTAAGTAATGCAGATAGGTTTGGAATGATAGTTATGGTATCTTTCAACACTTTTTCCATTTTAAGTTTAGCTTTAACTAGATTTCTGGGCTTCTTAATATCTGAGTGGTGGTTTGCTGCCTCTCCCTTCTGCTTTGTGGAGAGGGAGGGTATAGCAAAGTCATGTAGAATGATGCCCTTAAATTAGTAGAATATAAGGGCTAGATGTCTTCAAGCTGTGTCCCCCATCCCTCACCCCGGTTTTAAATAATCAAGGAGTTGGTTTGGAAATGGGAAATAGTGTGTTTGACTGTATATTCCCAGTCGCAGAAGAGCATATGTGTATGACCCTACCAATGCATGGTCTAATGTATCAGGCTAAGCTGAAAGATGCCCTGCCGGTTTTAATGCTAGTCATCTCCCGGACAAGAGTTAGTAATCCAAATATGTACCCTGCTGGAATGGATTTTACAGAATGAGAGAACTCTCCTTAGCAAAATTAGAGTGTCTTTCTGGGACTGGAAGTCACTACTTGTAGATACGCTTCACAGTTATCTGTAAGACAGTGGTTGGATAAAAATGCTCAATTTCTCTTGCGTATGTTGAATGTATGTATTCATTTCAATAAAGTATCATTTTATGCAAGTCCTACATTCCATTTGAGGATCTCATTCGTTGTTATTTTAGTTCTTGTTCACCTGAAATTACATTCTAGTTTTCATTGTAACTTTTCTTTTTTCCTGTAGTGTATCTACCCACTTGGTTACAAACCATTTAACAGCATAATTATTTCTGCTGATTCAGAAAATCTTCATGTTCCATCTAATGATAAGAAAAGGAAATTGTGTGATACCAGTGACCTTTCTCCTATCGAATCAAATCCAAAACTGGCAAGAACTAATAATGTGGTAAATGTTGAGCACAGTACTGATACAGACCCTGTTGTCCAAAACTGTGCTGAAAGCTTATGTATCCCTCAGCCAAGTGTATGTGACGTGTTAGAAAATGGCCAGGAAAAATCTAATAATGAGAAATCCATCAATCAGAAGGTGGATTTTGAAACAACCTCCAACACCAATGGTCATCAAGAAATTCCACTTAAGAATTTCAGCTCCAGAACACAACTCTTGCCGAACTCTACTCACAGCTCAACAACATCTGAAGTTTTGCTCAGAGACGGTAACTGTTCCACAAGTAACACAGGTTTATGTCTTCAGTGGAGAAACAAGTATAATCTTTGTTGGTTAGATTGTGTTTTGTCTGCATTGGTACACTTAGAAGCATTAAAATTTACTCTAGTAGAAGAAGATCATGAAAAATGTTTACTTCAAAGGCTCTTGACAAAGTATAATCAAGCAACTGTTCTGCTGAATACCTGTAAAAGATGTAAAGTAAAAGGTGAGTACATTCAGCTACTGTTTTTTCGTATTCAGACTGTTCTGATTTGGAATTCAGTACAATGCACTTAAAAAATGCCTCTTTTTCTATTTCAAGATCACAAACGAATCAGGTACAACTCATTGCTATGAATTTGCAGGGTTGTGTGCTTTATCTCACAGACTCCCACTAACCCTTGCAATTGTTTTCTTGGGATAAATGTGTGCACTTTTGAAAGTAGACATCAAATACAAAGGATCTCTTGATATATATATATTTTTGTCATAACCGAAGTAGAAAACTTGTGAATTATGTGATTGAGCTGTACTTTGTTTCTTTCCTCTCTGTTGGTTAATTATTGCATTATTTTTCTAATCTTAACCTTCGGGATTGTTTTGTATGGCACTGTGTAATGAACAGTTGCCTTATCACACCAAAAATATTCAGGCTGGGAACATATGTTCTTCTCTGGCTCCAGCTCTGTTTATCGAAGAAATGCTTCCCCTGGGGTCTGCTAGCTTTGCTGTGGGTGTAACCTGTTTTAGTCAAAATTAGTCAAAAGGTTCTAACCAGGTTTATACTGTCTGGAAGGACTTAGTAAGTACACAAATACACAGCTTAATAGATTTGAGAGTAGTAGCCTCTAAGCACAGGGACAGTGGAGAGCAGCTGGGGCAAACTTTCAGGTAGCACAGTGGGAGTGAGAGAAGAATGTGACGCTGCAGTCTGATAGTTTGGCCTTTGATCACTTTCCATATGGTGGATTCAGTTTAAGGCTCTTAAACTAAGATTTATTTTTCCTAGTCCTTTGGAATGGACCCAATGGAGTCATAAGCCTGAACTTCTGAGCAATCACCCTTCAGAGAATTACTGCAGACCTTTGGCTAGCCAGTACCCTTCATGAATTTCTTTTTCAATAGGTCTTCCAGGAAAAGTGTACATTTCAGTATGACAGAATATAGTACTAGAACAGCACTAGATAAGTTAAAGGATATAGTATCGTTACTGGAAAAAATAGTGAGTGTATCAAAAAGGGTTTAATCCACCACGTGGCAGAGAAAACAGTACTTTACAAAGGCACACACAAAAAAAATCCAAAGAAATTCTCTAGTGGTTTGTATACTCTATTTGCCAGAAGGTCTGTTTGATTTTGAGGGTTTCAGATGTTACCTGGAAGCCCTCTACAATTGCAACAGCCAAGATGTTATTTTTCTCTTCTGTTGTGCCACTGCTGTGTTTGCAAAGGAACTCTGGTATGGAAGAGCCCTCAAGTGGGTGTGCTAGTTTGTTTCCCTTAGAACGGCTGGTGGAATATGGTGATGTTTGAAACATTCCATTTTCAGGAACTGCTGCAAAATAAGTTGGCTCATTTTGGCAGGAATGGAAGGGGGATCAGATGAAGAGTATTATTATGGAAAACAGCTGTAGTATTTTTGTTCTTCCATCTACTTTTTCAGTATTTTTTGCATATGACTATGTTTTGAAACAAGCAGAAGCAATTGAGATGCAAGAAAATGTTTCTTTACCTTTTTTTACACATAATTTTTCAAAGAAAGAAGTAGTTCCCACAGCCATTCTAAGTCCTTCCTTTAATTGGTGTCAATTATGGTCATAATTGTGTAGCAACAGATGTATTCTTTCTTGTGCTTAATGTATGTGTATAGACACTGTAAGTTGCAAATACATAGTAAGATAAATCTACCATTTTAAAAATAGATTTTTAATGTTGAAAATACTGACTTAGTAATTTAGTACTTAGCATTTAAATTTTTTAATTATGAATTATATGATGTCATTACAAACGTGTAAGCAAATCTTTGTGCTTTCTGTCTTCATGTTTAGATTTTAAAATCTACTCTTAATCTCTGAATCTCTGTGGTTTGTAATGTTTGACTACATTAATCTTATGTGTTATTACTGTCTAGAACAGAATCATAGAATATCCCAAGTTGGAAAGAACCCTAGCTATGGGTACACATTCTTGGTGAGAATTTAAGTCAGATGAAGTTATTTTGGGTTAGCATTCAAGTTCTATAAACCAGTCTGTAATTTTCAGATGAATTAATACTGAGCAGTGACTATTTCATTAACAGTTTTAGACAACTGTAGATCAGTGTGAAGGATACCTGCAAATAATGAGCTCATGTTAGGGTTACATGTGTGTGAAAGGGTTGGAGGTGTTGCACATAACTACATGAAAGCATGTGTATTTTTTTTTCTACAGATGTTCTTCCTAAAGCAGAATTGCTTCTCAATGAAATAAGAAACCAGATTTTTTTACAGCTTCAGCCACAGCTTAGGTGTGAATTAGGTAAGTAATTAGTGTGGCACCTCAGTATTTATTTTCAGGAAACTGTACATCGAAAGACTTTTAGCGTGTCAGTTCATAAAAATACATCTGTCTATATGCATGCAAGACACCCTGCAAGTCATAGCTTGTGACATACACACAATGTACTGTGTTTTTAGCTGTTTTGTCCCTTGCTGTTTCTGAGAGTGTATGCGGGTTTTTGTAACTATGCTGCATTCCTCACACTGTCACTGAGAACAGTCTAGTAACACGGATCAATCCCTCTGCTGGGAGCTTTGGAGGGATGCCCTGAATTGCAATCGTTGCAGTGAGCTTATCTTCCCTTTTGAAGTACTGAAATCTGATTTCAAATTCAGCAGCTATTTTTTCTCCCTGTCTTTGAAGGTAAGGAGGAAAGTCCAGTGTTCGCACTCCCTCTCCTCTTGAAACAGGATCAGCAAGCTGAGAAGCTCTTTTTGCATTCATTTTCATGGAAGTTTGAATGCATGTGCTGTGGCTACAAATACCTGGACAGGTGAGATTTTTTATAAATGTGCCTTCTCTTTAACTGTCCTACTGTAGCTTTGAATCTGCACGTAATAAAAGACTTTTCTTTGCATCTCCAGGTTTTGTATAGCTTAAGTTTCTGGGTGAAGTTTTATGTGAACTGCTTCTTCAGTTTGGCATTTGCAAGTAGTTTACTAATGTGTAGTGTGTCTTAGGAAACCACATTATCTCTTAACTAAGAAAGAAATAATAGGCAACAGCAAGTGCCTGGGCATGCTCACTCTGATCTTGTGCTGACAATACACAGGTTGTTGCTGTTGTTCAGAATATGTGCCTAGCATGCTTTTACTATTGAAGGATATCTGTAATGTTCATTTGGATTGAAAAGAACCAGAGATTTTTGTGTGTTTTAAAATAGTATTACAGGCAAGTCATTTTTTGAGGGTTGATGTAATTCATGTAGCCACAGGTCAGTTAGGCTGTTAAGAGTCCAGGGAAAGGGACGTCACCTTTATGAGACAGCTCATTTTCTTTGAAAAATGCCTGTTTCTCTCCGCTATCTGAATTTCATACAATAAGCTTCTTGATCCACAGGTGAAGAGATTAATTATACCTGTTAGCCAGGTAAAATGTGCAGGTCTGCTTAATAAGGTTTGTCCAAGTTACATACTATGTTTTTTTAAAAAGTTAAAAAATGCTAGGTGAGAGTGAATATAGAGGAAGTCCTTTCTGTGGCTAGGGAAGAAACTACATTATTTGATATCCCATACATTGTATTTTCATGCATTATAACTTCTTTGTAATCTTTGTTCTGAGTGTACTGGGTTTTTTATTGGTTGGTTTGTTGTTTTGTTTTTTTTTTTTAAACAAGACATTGTGTAACGTGCACTGTGAGATAGTTACCACCTCCTTCTCTCCTTGAGACTTTGTAGTAGCTAGTGAATTATGCAGATCCTTGTTGAAGCTCTACCATTCCTTGAAAAGGAAGCAGAGATAACATGCTAAAGGAGAAGGAACAAATAGTGCTCTGCTCAAGGTTGCGGAGCTGTTGAGAACAAATGGTGACTGATAACGTGTGGCAGAACTGAATTCAGTGCTGTCTTGGATAGTGTAGTCACAGAGGAATACATGCAAATGGCATGAATATGAGTAGAATTTAGCTTTGTCATAACGTGCAACTTTTTCCCCTTCTAAGCTGCAAATATTTATTGTTTTCTAATCAGCAAATTGTCTTATTCTGTGTATGTGTGTGTCCAGATGTAGGAAAACACTAACAACGTTCACAAATATAATCCCTGATTGGCATCCACTTAATGCTGTTCATGTTGCTCCATGCAATAACTGCAGTGATAGATCTCAAAGAAGACAGATGATTTTGGAAAAGTAAGTTTTACATATGAACTTGAAAATAAAATGGATAAAATTCTGTGATTTCATGTATTGAACATAGCATCGCTTTCAAAACCAAACTGTTGTCTTGAGTTTACAGATGAAAAGCTTTAAATTCTGATAAGTACTTCTTTAGATACTAGGTAATTCTTAAAGGCTGAAACTGCAGATGGTTTTTACATGAAGCATAGCAGGAACAGTTTTTAATACAGTGACTAGCATATACATTTGAGCTAGGTCATACTTTATACTAAGTAGTAAATGTCAAAACTGATAGCCAATTTCAGCATTTCTGCAGCTTTTGGTATTGGTGAATAAAACTATTTTCACCTATTTACTTGTTTGCCTTGGGAACAATGTCTTTTTGTACTATGATTACGATGCAGTTGTCTTCTGTCTTTTCTCACCTTTTCCCCACACCCAAAATCCTGTACATGTTTTTCCTTCTTTTTTCTCCCCTCGTCTTTAACAAAATGGAACATCTAGTTGGGGATGTCTTTTTCTTGAGTACAGTACAATTGTAAGAGTCCCGTGTAGAAACAGAATAGTAAGGGCAGAACTCTTAAAATGCCTTGCACATAGTTTTTCATAAGGAATTTTTGTCACTATTTTGTTGTAACAAACTGTTTCTTTGTCTCTTTATTAGAGTACCCTCAGTATTAATGTTCCATTTCCTAGAAGGCTTGCCGCATAACAACCTGAAGAGTTACTCATTTCAGCTTGAAGAAGACATCTACCAAATAACATCTGTTATTCAGTATGAAATGCGTAAGAAGCACTTCATAACCTGGTCATTGAATCCTGATGGTAAGAAACATTAGGTCTATGTACAAACAGTACTTTGAGTTCTACAACAAATAGTGTTTCATGGGCTATTGGATAGTCCATAGACAGTAACAAGGATTATTTTTGTCTGCATCCTAAACTGTAGGAACTTTGTTATTTGGAGTGAAGGTTTAGTTTTGGTTTAACTGACTTCTTCAGCAGTGTTCTGCCCTCATGGGCAGAAGTTACTTGGGTAGAGTTTCCTTTCAAAACTTTGTAAAAGTTAATAATTAAAAAAAACAAAACAAAAAAACAATCTAAGCATGGCTGTTGGACAGATAGCATCAGTTATTTTGAAGCCACCAGTTGGTCTTTTCTTGACTGGAAATTGGGGGACGTGTGGAACAAACAGCATTAATGGCGTTTGTGTTCATTTCTGAACTTAGCTGTACCTGAGGGGTGGGAGGCACACATGCATGATGGAAACATTGCTAGTGGTATGATGGTTGTAACATTGGCAGCAGCAGAGCTTCATCTGAGTGGAACTCTGTAATTGCAGATGGTAAAAAGATGGTATTCTGATTTTTGTGCTTCTCTAGAGGGAGTGGAGTGCAGTCTTACCAAACTTACTGTTTTAACAGTATGAAAATTGTATAAGTCATACTACCTGAGTTTAAGAAGAAAAAGAAAGTGGAAGCAGCTGGTAAGGAAGCACCTAGTAAAGAATATCCTGATCATCATGTATATGTGGTCTATATCTATTTTAAAAAATTTCAAGCAGTAAAATACTTGATGAACAATTTGCAGATGACGAGGCAAATTCATAAAATGAGCAGCAGTTTCTCTTAAACCTCCATGCCTTCCATCTAAGTAATGAAAAGTTCTACTGAGAAACTTAATTTAAGAGGTGCTCTTTGCTCAGATGTGTGCAGGTATTTTCAGCCAAGATGTCAGCCTTATTAGCTCAGACAAAAAAAACTTAGGTTTGTTTTTCAGAAGACCTTCTCTGACTTGTAATAATACTGCTGTGAATTCTGCTTGGGGTGATCTTTTTACAGTGGAAACCTCCCAGTTTTCCTCTGATATAATAAAGAATGAAGGAGAAGAAAATTTAATTGCTGCTTGTCAGGTTAATAAAAATGCTTGACAAGTGTCAGAAGATAGAGACTTCAATTTTAAAAGCCTCTTAGTCGCTGCACTGGTTGTTATTTATTTTTCAGGAACTTGGCTTGAGTGTGATGACTTAAAGGGTCCGTATTGCAGGAGACACAAAAGATTTGAAGTTCCTCCGACAGAGATTCATATTGTCATCTGGGAAAAGAAAGCACCCCGTTTGCCAGAAGAAGACCAGAATTCACAGCATCAGAATAAAAATATTGAAGATTCTACTATTAATAATGTGCAGTTAAATTCCACAGTGTTGCACCATGGTTTTGATAATGCTGTAGACAATATACTTGCAGAAGATCACAAAGAAGATTCTGTGAGAATTCCAGATGAGAAACAGCAGCGGGTCGCTGAGGGTGAAAGTAGTGCACATTGTGGCTTAGAAAATCTTGCCCGTGATGATCTTTTAACTCAGATTCTTGAAGAAACTCCACTTGACTCAGAGGGTAAATCAATGCTGAACAGAAGGATGATGGAAAATAACCTTGTTGTTGAAATGAGCTCACGGGAAAAGCAAGAATCAGCTTTTTCACTTAACACTCCCTATACAGGGGAGCTCATTGGAACTGATGTACCTATGAATGACAAAAACATGCTATCTGAAAATTCCAGCATTTGCTTGTCTCTACAAGAATTGAATCCAGCAAGTAGTACTCCTCCTGTACCCAAAAAACACGACCCCAACCCATCTGACTCGTTACTTGCTCAAAGCACAGATGGTAAAGGTAACTTACTTAATGGAGAATGTGGCTTAAGTTCAGGACACCAGATAAACTGTAAATTGCCACCAGTAGAGAATATTGTAGAAAAATCACCTGACCTGAAAGGTGCGAGCAAAATTGCAGTTCATTCTCAGGTTACAAGTTCTTCTGCTGATAATAACTCCTTACAGCCTTCAGACAAAGACCAAAAAAGAGGATTTGTAGGAAGCTGGGTAAAAAAACTGTTAAGCAAGAATACTTCTTTTCTGCCTTCAAGTGCCTTGATGCCCAAGAATGAGAGAAGCTGCAAAACTCCCTCAGTGCAGAAGTTAAATGACACATGGTTGCCAGTTAAAGGAGCAAGTAACTTTGGTGGATTTCAAGGCAGAGGTGAACGCAAAACATCTCAGCCCCTAACGTCAGTGCTTCCTCGGAGTAATAATGCTCATTATTTATCAAAGTTCAAAGGATTTTCTCAAGGTACTTGTCTTCCCCAAAATCATATTGCCATGGAAGGCCCAACTTGGAATAAGTCAGGCAGTACTCTGGGTAGCTCTGGTAAAACAACTCAGGTCCATCCACCTAGCTATAATTCTGTGAAGGCAGAAGAGTCAGATAGTGACAAAACAAGAAAGCTTCGCCTGAAACTTTTAAAAAAGCTTAATGCTAAAAAGAAGAAGTTGGCTTCACTGGACAGGCTAGCAGTGGAACAGGCAAAATGTGGAAAACCTGTTGCTAGGGATGTAAATGCCCCTTCACAGACTGAATCTCATAATGATAGTGAATTACTGCAGAGCTTTTTAAGGGAACTGCAGTATCACATTGATGCTGCAGATAATTCGTCTGAATTCAGTGTGAACTCGGGATGCAGTAGCCATAATAGTAATGATGAAATACTGGCAGAATTACTGTCCCCTACTTCAACTGTTGCTTCCTCAGAGGTTCCAAAAAGCGAAGATGAATGTATGTATATGGAAATGGTAAATAGCAGCAGTGCTGCGCCAGCAGAGCCTGCTGAGAAGACCAGTGTATCTCATGCAGCAGTGACACCTGAGGACCGCAGTTACTACAGTCCTGAAAAGGGCAGTAATTATGAACATATAATGAGCAAATCCAGTGTGAAAAAAATTGGTTTTGAGAGTCCCACAAGGGAAGATATCCTTGAAGACCTGTTCTCCATTTCAGCACCAACCACAATGGCAGGTGACATAGATGTACCTCATTTTGATGAGACGCTGTTCGAAACTTGGTGAATATTTGGTTTATTAGGGTTGGGGTTTTTTTTCCAACATTATGTATATTTTGAAACAAACGACTATTAAATTATATTTTCTAACAAGTTTAATTGCACCCTGGCTGTACTTGAACAGTTTCCATTGCAGTTTTTCTTAAAAATTTTATTGTAGCAGACAAAGTGCTTTAAGGCATTTTGTTTTTTTGAGGAACCGTTATTTTAGCAGATATAATGATGCACTCAAACATAGCTCCTATGAGTCTTAATTTTTGCTGCTTTTAATATGGGAAATGTACCCATGTTTTATTGGGTTTGAAAAATAACAGACTTCAGTATCCTAGATGTTGTAATGGCATGAGAAGTACTTCAGGTAGCACGGATCCGTTTTTCAGGATCACCCAACTCCTGAGGTCTCTTTGTCCAGTATTTAGGGGAAAAGTAATCCACCATTCTGTAATAATGGATTTTTGTCTCCTTTGCTACAAAGATTGTATGCAAAGCTCAACTCCAATGGTGATACTTTGTTTGGAACTTTTGAGAATTACTGTTCTGTAAGCTCCCCTTCCCTAGATCCAAAGAAGGACTGATATAAAGTGTTAGTACTTCCCTTTGAACTTAGGGCTGTTGAGTTTTCATCCTGGGTAACCTGCTGAGCTTTCATCCTGGGCAACTGAAAATATGATTTGGCTGAACATTATTCAGAGCCAGATCATTTTCTTCAAGTAGATTAAATAAGATCTGGGCCAGAGTTTGCAGTGCTAAGAAAGGATACCAAATGTAACTTTTATTTATGCATTGCTGTGAATTCACTAATAAAAGAAAGATTTCTGAGAGTGGAACTGTGAATTAGCACTTACTGCTGTTGTCCATAGGGCAGCACACCCCTATCTGTATAAAGCAAATGGCAAGGAGAGGCAAAGTCCATTGGACAAAACTTATGGAGAACGTGGCAAGACAGCATTGAGTAGGAAGAGAGAGAAGATCATTGACATTGTGGTGCTTCTGGGTCTGCGTATGGCTGTCATTTTGCTAGGTGGGGGTCTTTGAAAATCACGGATAGAGAGGTGAGATTCTATATGCTGAATTGGATTAACTGTATGTTTTTCTAGTACCTGTGATAATGAGAATTTCATCAGCAAGTCTTTGTCTCAGTCACTTGTGGAGGTACTCTACATTTTTTCCTTTTGATCCTGAATTTAAAACACAAATCTTCTGTCTTCTAAAATAGATGTGTTTTGAACATAATTGTCATTACAAAGCATGGCTACAGATGTAAATGGTCTTTGATAGCTTGAACCAGGTTCAGTAAGTGATTGAGAATCTGTCAGTGGCACTGAATGCACCTTGACAAGTTGTTTCTGTTGTAATTACATACGTGTTTATTGAACTGGCACTTCAGACAATTACTGGTTTCATTCTTGGAGTCTTTGTAAAGAGGTGGAGCTCCTCTTTGTTTTAGATATTGTAACTGGTACGTTGCAATAAAAAATCAGTGGGTTCTGAATGTGAAGTACCACTGTTCTACTGGTGAAATGTTTGTTGGTCTGTTCACTTTGTTAAAAAATAAAAATAAAATAATAAATTGTTGACCAAAATTAGAGCTTGACATAACAGTAAATAATCAACAAGCCTTGAGGGGGTAATAGGATTTTCCTGGGGAGTTTTCCAACCAGTGGTTGTGCAAACCACAGGAGAGCAGTGTGTCATTACCACTAATTGCTTGCTGCAGGGGTTTCCCTAAGCAGTGGGGAACTGCTTCCAGCATAGAGACCATCTGCAGTGCACTGGGCTGCAGCTCCTTGCAGCTGTGATGTGGGAAATCCCTCCCTGCTGACTGCGTAACAGCCTCAGGGATGGGTGAAACTGTTCTCTTGAGGTTGGCATGATACATAGCGTATGGGCCTACACGAGGAAAAGACCCCTCTTCAGTGGGATATAGGAGGTGGAGGTTGTGAAAGGAGATGAGACGGCCCTGATGTAAGGAGTGTGATGAGGTTAATAGCAAGGGAAGAGGATATGGGGCACATCTGCTGTGCATGTGTGCCTAGGCAGAAGAAAATGGTCACCACTGCCAGCATCTGCAAACTGATGAATAGAGTCCTTGGTGTGCAGCTGTGTGGGGTACAGTGTGGGTATACACACGTGTAAAAGCTCCAGGGGCAAATAAATAGCACTTGAAATTGAAATATGGAACTACATGTTACTGGTGCAAGTTTTTGCTTCTCTCTTTTTTTTTTTTCTTTTTTTTTTTTCTGAAAGTGAAAGATGTTGCTGTGCACTTTGTTGGTTTATTTCCATAAATATTTTACTGCAGCTGATTCCATGCAAGTGAGAATTCATCTGTAGTTAAAAGAAAACTCCTTGACCAAAGAAAGAGTTTGGAATTCAGTGGTTGTTTCTTGTTTGAGTGTAGATTTAAAATGCGGGCTGGACATTCAGCTTTGCATCATTAATAAAAATCATGAAGTCTTAGTTTTCTGTCAGATTTTTAGCCTCTGCCCTCCTCCCCCCACCCAACCAGGCAGAATACCTGTGGGACCACTGCTGTAGACACTGAACTGGAAGGTTGGTTACAAACCTGATTTTGGTCTTGATGTTTTTAATTGGCTATTGTCATTAATTCTTCATCCAGCATTGCTTTTTGGCTTAAACAATTATTCCCCCCAACAGCGTGTCGATGGAGAGCGCTTGTGCTTTGTCTCTTTCTTTTGCAGAGCTGGTTTACATCAGTGAATCTGCCCTTGAAGTTGGAGCACTTGCCTCCTGTGCACAGCTCCTGAGCATGTGCTCTGCTGCAACATCCCCCAGGATCCAGCTGGGAGCAGAGGAGCTTACACAGTCTAAGTATAGATGTAAGACATGGGGAAAGGCTAACGTGATTACGCGATTCAGCACGGCCCTGCAATACCAACATGTGGGCTGGCTCTGTTGTAGCAGAGCAGGATCTGCAAGCAATGCAGAAAGCTGTGACAAGTTGGGTTTTCAGAGATAGCATTTGAAACTGCTTTAGTGGGAATCCACCCCTTTCCCCCTCCTCCTTTGGACGGTGGGAAGGAGAGTTCTAAATGCTTTATGCTGCCATAAACGTTCTTGCCGACTGCCTGTAGCTCAGTTTCAACTCAACCTTGATCTGTACTCGGGCTCAGACCAGCAAACACCCCTTGCAACTACGGTTTGTTGGGTGCAAGCAGTGGTAGTGAGGTGGAACCTCGCACCCTTTACAAAGCTGTCCCACCTTCCCTGAAGCTGTTTCAATGGAAGCTCCTGTAGTCTGTCCTTTCACGTAGAGAGGGGAAAGATTATTTTGTACCGAGTGAACCAACTTGTAGCAGCAAACCACGCCGCACTTGCTTTCGCAGCAGCGGTTTTATAGAAGGGGAAAATTAGCGTTTGCAAAACCAGAGGGACGGGGAAGAAAACAGTGGTGTTTCCGCCCGGTTTCGAACCGGGGACCTTTCGCGTGTTAGGCGAACGTGATAACCACTACACTACGGAAACTTCCCGTGCTCAACACTTTCCCGGAGCTCAGCTTCAGTGTAGCTCCACCGAGCGGTGGCCTTTTCTTCTTTATCCTTTCGGCCCCATCAACTCTTCAAAATCTAGAGGGGCGAACGCAGGGAGCTTCCACGCCACAAATTGCAGGCAGCAGCTGGTTGGTATAAGGAAGAAAAGAAGCGCAGAAACATAAAATAGCGGCACCGTCCCTGGGTGGGCTCGAACCACCAACCTTTCGGTTAACAGCCGAACGCGCTAACCGATTGCGCCACAGAGACTCGCTGAAAGTTCCGCTCGACGAGGTCCTCCTGATTACTGTGGCGTCCATATTCCTGGGTGGCTGATAAACTAACTTCATGTTTTGTTGTTGTTGTTTTTTTTTAATCTAAAGATACCGGTTTGCTTTTTTAATCTGAAGAATTTAGGAATATTCATTCTCTCTCTCTCTCCGTCTCTCTTTTTTTTTTAATCTCCATTGTTTCTGTAACCTTCTACACACAGAGAGGGAAACAGCAGACAAGCAGAAGAAAATACAGCCTACAGCTGTGCCTAGGGGCAGGGAGCTGCAGGTGGAAGTCTGGTAGCCTCTCAGGGTCATAAGACCCAGCAAAGACCAATGAGTGTACTCCAAGAGAGAGGAAGACAAAAGTTAGCATGTGCCAATCACTGAGTGCATGGCTGAAGCATCCAAACGTCCTATAGTTCTACTATGAAAAGGCTAATTGGGACAAGAGACTCGAGGAACAGGAGCCAAAATTCATTCTCACGTGTTTAAGAAGCCTGCCAAAGCCATTAGGCTTCAGGGAAGACCTTATTGCTCTGTGTAACTGCCTGAAAAGAGGGTGCGGCGAGGTGGCGATGGGCCTCTTCTCTCAGGAAACAGCTATGGGATGAGAGGGAACAGCCTCAAGTTGCACCAAGGTTGGACCTGAAAAATTTCCTCTTGGAAAGGGTGGTGAGGTATTGGCACAGCTGTCCAGGGAGGTGGTGATGGCACCATCCCTGGAGGTGTTCAAGAGCTGTGTAAATGTGGCATTGAGGGACGTGGCTACTGGGCATGGTGGTGATAGGCTGACAGTTGGACTTGATGATCTTAGAGGCCTTTTCCAACTGTAATGATTCTATGGAGGGTCTATACGAGTCTACACTTCAAATAAGTTAAGCAATCAAAAAACCTGTGTCCTGTGACACTCGTATATAGGACTTCCCATGTTGAATTTAGTTTGGACACTTCCACTGGAGCCTTTGTGCCAAGAGCTGAACAGATATCAAAAGTGGAGAAGCACATCCCACAAGATATTTATAGATCTGCACTCACAGTCCTTTCCTGTTCCGTCTGAGAGCATTTCTACAGAAGATTTTCAGAGAAGGAGATTAATGTGCTGAAGGTCTCATAGCACAATGGGAGAAACTTGCTGGCTTTGCATGTTTCCATAGGCTCTGTGGCTCTGCATGTCAGGTTTATGTTCCTCACACAGCAAGATGAGGGTTTCCAGCAGTGATGCAGCAAGCAGAGGGGATCCAGAAGCAGTGGGGGAAAAACAGCATCACCCCTGCCTGGGGTTGGGGGCTGCAATGAGTGCAGGCAACTTCCTGCAACTCTCATTGTCAGACAGTCATACCAAAAACATTCTCACTAGCACAGCCTTTTCCTTCTTGCATGAAGAAATCAGCTTAGGAAGTCCTGGAGCTGATGTAATGAGATTTCTTTTTGTTGGGGGAAGGAGAAGGAAGGGAATACCAAAGCACAGTGAGAACGGGAAATGAGGATTGCGTGTTGGTCAGCACAGAGCTGCAGGAGGAAGCTCCCAAGTGCTAAGTGGTGCCAGGGGCAGACAGGGCTGGATGGGGCCTGGGGAGAGCAGAATGGCAAAGAAAAGCAATGAAATTGAGGGAGAAATGGGCTGGGGGGAGCGGGATGGGAGGAAAGAGAAGGCATCAGCAGCCAACTGCCGTAGGCCTGGGCTGCATAGGTTGGAAAGCCAGTGGCTCCTGCTATTTTATTTTATTTTTTGCATTATGGTAATGTCAAACTTCATGTTAAATGCCATCCTTGAGCACAAACTTACCAAGAGTTAACTCTCAGAAAAAATCACAGCCCCAAATTATGCCAGATGTTGCTGCTCACACAGCAGTGTCTGTGCTGTGCTTTCCATCAGAAAACAGCCTCTGACTGCTCACAGGCCACAGTCATCACCTCCTGATCACTGACATGCTTCTGTACATTTGCTGGTACCCAAGTTACCTGATAGATCTCCTTATCAATTACTTCAGGTGATAACAATTTGCATGATAGTGAGGTTGGGTAAAGCCACAGCTGTAGGTAAATTTCCCATCTCAAAAAGGAGCAGATGTGTTTTTCCTGGAAGGACATGCACGCTTTGATGAGGATGCTTTCCAGCTGTCTGATAGAATCATAGTCTCATAGATCATAGAATGGTTGGAAGGGACCTTAAAGCCCATTCTATTCCAACCTTACACTGTGGGCAGGGACAGCTCCCACCAGCTCAGGCTGCACGGCGTTCCATGCAGCCTGGCTTTGAGCACCTTCAGGGATGGGGCACCCACAGCTTTTCTGGGCAGCCTGAGCCTCACTGTCTTACAGAAGACACCATGAGCCTCCTGCATCTTGTGCTCCCCTGTCACCTCTTCCCTGGGATCAAAGCTGGGGTAGGAGATGCCACAATAACTCTTTTCATCTGTATTGGGCTCAGATTAGGGAAACTGCAATTTGAAAGGCTGAGCTTGTAAAGCTGAGTGTTGGCAGCTGCCACCATATTCCAGAGGGAAGTGTTGTCTCATATTTCTCTGGGCTTCACCTGTAACTAAGAGGATGCAATGAGGAACGCTGTATGCTGCAGCTGTACTGTACTGGCAGGCACCCAAGCATGGGGTGCTGCTGTGCTCCCACAGGGCTGTAGGAAGTGTTTCACGATCTGAGATAACTCAGACCCTCACTTCCTCCTTCTGCACTCACAGGGCTGAGCTGCCGCCGCGGCTGCACTATCTGCCCACTGCCCGCTCACAAAATGGATCAGGAGACCCTGGGGAGCGTCGTCCTGCTCGCCATTGTCACCTTGATCAGCGTCATCCAGAACGGTAAGGCAGAAATCCGTGTACATGGGAGGGGAGAACAGTCCGGTGTTTGTTAGATAACCTCTGGCTGTGAGTGTGTGCATGTGCAGGCATCCCAGGCAGGCATTTGGCTTCAGCAATGCTCTCAGCACACTGCCTGACATGCTGGTGTTTCTATGGCTTGTCAGCCCTGCTGTGAGCCAGTCACACGTATGCCAGCTAATGAAAGGGGTGATGTGTTGGAGCTGCTGGGGACAATGTGCACTTAGATCCGATAATGGGGACCATGGCTAAAGCCCCAGTGCTGCTCTTTGGCTGAATCCCTGTGGGCTGCAGAGCAGCAGCAAGGGCCTGGAGCTCTGCAGGTGAAGGCAGCAAAATGGCACTACCACCAAGAAGTGTGTTTCGGTGATGTGGGGTCACCTAGCTGTCCAGGTCCTCTAGCGTGACTAGTTTGCATTATCTGCAGCCCCAAGAATGCTGAGCATTTTCTGCAATGGGGAAGTTTCATTTCTTGCTCTTATTCAGACTCCTATCCTCAATACTGTTCCTTGGAACTTTTAAAATAAAACTGCAATCTTCTCTTCTGCCCAAATCTGTTTTTAACTTGATCAACCTTCTTCAACCATACTTAACCATTCTAGCAGAAAATGTTGCTCATCATCCAGACAAGGGAGTGGGTTTTGCTCCGGATGCACTGTGGTTACCCAGGCTCAAGAAGCTTGGTGAGTGACTGACAGAAATGCTTGAAATCCCAGTGAGTGCAGACCTCGTTGTTCATGCCTGGAAATGGGTTGTGCTGCAGGGAGGGGAAGTGGTGGGGGCTCAGCTACAGAGCAGCAAAGTGTGAAGATGGGTGAAATCCTGAGGTAGACACTAACTGCTGCGCTATTCAGCGTAGTCCTCTGTAATGGTAAATGCACAGCATGTAGTAAAGCAGCATAAGGTGTGCTGGGATCAGAGCACAAACATCTTCCTCCTTCTACCCTCCTCTACCTTCTCCCTGACTAGCACAGGGAATGAGGCTGTAGTCAGTCCATAATGCCTGTATCTGCTGCTCTTTCATGGTCACTTTCTGCCCCCACTCCATATGGGATGTCTCCTATGGATGCCATCCTTCCCAATTTAATTCCATGTGGGCTTCCCACAGGCTGCAGCTCTCCGACCACAGCTTCAACATGGCTCCATGCCATGGGGTCCACCTTTCAGGACCTGCTCCACTGCTGGCTGCTCTCCACAGGTTGCAGCTCCATCCCAGGGCCTCATCTTGCAGCCCCTCTGCTACCAAACCTAGCCATGTAAACCCAATACACTCTGAAACTCAAGCACTTGCCTTCCAGCCTGACATGCACTTTGCTTTCATGGAAATCTCTCTGTGAAATCACAGACCCTACTGCTGTGGGCCAGCCATGTTGCAGAGGGCTCTGTGTGACGAATAAGGGTGGCACACAGCCCTGAGCTATGATTTCAAAGCTTGTAGCACTTGATTTCTTTCTCCCAAGCTTTCTGTCTGGAAAGATGTCCATGACACACATACTGTACATTATGCATATTGTATGTCACGTATACAGTAATTAGAGCAGTAGAAATGCTTGTCAAAGGATAACAGTAGTACTAAACTCCTTCTATGGCTCAGTGAGGCATCTGCTGACTGTCTTTAAGTACTTGGAGCTAGTAATGATGTAAATTTGGGTTTGTATGTTTGTCTGCACCTGATGTAAGATTATAAAGCAGTTCTGGTGAATACTGCTGTTCCAAAGCTGCATGCAGGCTGCATTGCTGCCTGTCCATTTGACATCATCTCACTTGTACTGGGAATCTCCACATCCTGCAGAGTGACTGAGCAACCAGGCACTGCTGAGTCACACACAGAGCTTTGGTGTTATTATTGCATCACTGCAGTGTTGCAACCAAGCAGCCTTCAGGGCAAACTGAGCAGATCAGGACAGAGGAAATGACGTGAATCGGATGGAAGGGGCAGCCCTACATTACTGCCAGCACACACTCAGCTGGAGTATCAGCATGCTGTTCAGTTTGTGTGGACTCGAGAAACAACAAGATTTCCCCCCTTACATGGCCACATCTGGAGCCAGTTCATGGGAATGGCCCACTGAAAATAGACCTGAAACCAAAAGTGCATTATCTCCATCTGGATCATTTCCCCAAGGCCCTTGCTGCATACTCCTGAGTGCCAGACCACAATGGATCAAGGTCATAGCAGCTGAAGAAACCTTGGAGCCATGGGGCATTGATCCCAGGTGCAGCTGAGCCCACTCTTGGCCCCCTCCCCTCCTTTTCACTCCCTGTTCAGTTCACCCATCTGCACCAGGTTGTGAAACCACATCCTTGACTCAAGGCTTGGAGGAAAAGAGAGAAATATAACCGCAGTGTTGCAAGCTACTTAACACAGTAGTCTCTCCTTTCCCCAGCGTCAGCCTAATGGGAGCTCAACACTGCTGTGCTGCCTGCCCAAACCTATGGCAGGGGCCACCACTGGATGGGACCTGCCAGCTCTGCTCTGCTCTTTCACAGAGCTTCAGCTCAAGGGGACGTACCTTCTGGGCTGCCCTTTGAGATGGCTCTTCTCATGCTGGTAGCTTGATGTCTGCAGGTGCATTTCCTCTGTTTGTCTTTGTAACTCATTGTAAGGTAAGTAAAACACCTATCTCCCCAACGCTGCTCAGTGTCCCCAAAACAAGATGAAACAAAGCCTGCTCTCACCCATGATGCAGGTGTTCATGATAAACCCATCTTTGTCTTTGCCCTAATACCCAGCCCTTTGACCAAGGATCCAACAGGTCATGGCAGAGATGATGAGTGCTTCCATGGCTCATGCCTGGATTTTCTTGGCCAGGTCCTTGCCCAGGAGATCCAGAAACCCCTGGGGCCTACCCAGCCATGACCCTGGAGGCTATATGCCAGGAGTGTCACCATCTGCTCCTCCAAGGTCCTGTGGCCAGCACCACGTTGGACACAGCTGGGTTTAACCCAATGGCTCTGGCATCATGGAACTCTCTGCTGCAGCTCACCTGGGCCTGGGAAGTAGCAGAACCTACAATAGCAGAGAGAATCATTAGAATCATCAAGGGTGGAGAAGACCCATAAGATCATCTAGTCCAACTCTCAGCCCATCCCCACCATGCTCCTCACTGCCACATCCACATGGTTCTTGAACACCTGCAGGGATTGTAACTCTACCACCTCCTGGGCAGCTTGTGCCAGTGCCTCTCCACTCTTTCTGAGGAGAAATTTTTGCCCAAGAGGGAGATGTTTAAAGCTTACCATTGTCTTTCTCCAAAGGCTGTGCCATCTTTTAGGGATCTCATGTGCACGCTAAAAGGAAAGGATGTGCTATGTATCCCAGTAAGCTCATCCAGTCCAAGGTCTACAGGAAGCAGTTTACCATCACAGGAGCTTTATACTGGACAAAAACATCATGCTGGCCAACCTGGTCCTCCGTTAACAACCCAAAGGTTGGGTCAGCACATGGGTGAGGACACTGGGAGCTCTTGGTGGCTGAGCTGCTGGATGGTGGCAGCTATAGGCCTTCAGATTCCAGGGATGAAGCCTGGCAGTTTATCAAGTTATCATATTGCTAGAATAATGTATGGGGTTTTTGTGTGGTTTTTTTTTTTCTTTTCTCTCTCTTTTTTTTTTTTTTTCTTTTTTTTTTTTTCTCCTGATGTGTTTTCTTTGGACTAATATTCCAAACCATAGGATGATTTGGGTGCACTGAGATTGGGCGCATGATGATACAATGCCTGTAGTTTGTCGGCTGTCAGAACTCTGCCAGATGCATTTAGACATACGATTGATGGTCTCTGTTTTAGTGTAATTAGACAAGAAGTGTTTGTCAAGCATACGATAATTATCTTGCGGTGCTGTGTTTTTGCAGCAGCTAACATCCTGACATGATACCACTGCTTAAAAGTAGGAAACAAACCATAGATACACAGCATCAGTCATAAGTACTAGGTTTGCAATGAGTCTTTCTGGGAAATGAATACAACCTGTTGAATGTCCTTGTTTTGGCAAAAGGGTATCACTGAAAGAGCAGAAATTCTCTTTTCTCCCCACTCTGTCAGAGAGTGAGGATGAGTTCTGGCAGATCTCACCAGCAGGTTTTTCCCCCTGGAGAACAAATACGCAGCACTGGGTTGTACGTCTGCAGCAGGGGGGAGATTTAACCATGCTAAGAGGTGAGAGATGCTGACAGCAACATGCAGATGTGTGGGGATGTCAGGGTGACACCATGTCATGCCCTTGCATGGAGGGTTGCGTTACACCATGTTGACAGAGTGAGCATGCTGGCGACCCTGCATCTCCACACATCTGCATATTCTGCTGCTGCCCAGGCATACACAAGGACGCTTGCACTTCTGAAATATTCTAGATTACATTTCAGATCAAACAGCTTGTGTTGCTTTTTGTTTGTTTTTTACAGCTTTTTTTGCTAGCAAATTGGAGCATGAGAGTAAACACTGCAATGGCAAAGGAATCCAGCGGCCAGGCTCCTCTGCCTTTGAACGTGTCTACACTGCCAAGTGAGTAGGAAGAGCCAGTGGGGCAAGCCTGGGCTCACCGCCCTGTTCCTTACAGCTTAATCCAAACTCCTAAGGGGTCCAAAGTTGGGATCCAGGGCTTTCCTCTGCAATCCCATTGCTGTGTGCGCTGTGGCAGAGGTTAGACCTGTAGTTCTCCAGTGCATTTGCTGCTGAGCACAGGACGTGCAGACCTGATGTTCTCTATGTCCTCTATCTGGGATCCAACTCTCCAAATCACACCTAAAACTGGAAGTGTGACATGGGCACAGCCATTGTCCCATATGCACTGCAGCTCCAGGGGGAAGCAACTCTGACTTGAGAGGTAGTGACAGAGCTCTGAACAAGTCCTGGCTCTCTGCTTCCCCACCACATTCACTGCATCTTGCCTTCAACATTCCTTCAGAGGGAGCAGAGGGGAAAATTAATTCCAACCCAGAAGAGAAAAGAACATAAAATATTTTTTATTACCCGTGAAGTACTGGCAATACGCTCAAAAAGGCAGAGAACAGCAAAATGCTGCCCTTCACAGGTGTGTGACCTCTGCAAGAGCACATCTCCCTCTGGAAGTGCATTCCAGGCTGAAGGAGGGAGTCAGAAATGATTCCTGTGCATGTGTAAGGAGACAGGTTAACCTTTTCAGACACTCCTTTTTGCTGTGCAGTTCTCCTTTTGTTGGCTTCACACAGCTCTCAATGCTCATCGCTTGATTAATATGACTTAAGCACAAGGATTTCCTAAGCCGACAAAGCGTGCAGCTCTGTTATACATGCTAGAGGAAGCAAATGCACTTCCCAGCTGCTGGGCTCGCTTGTGGTTTCTTTCCCTGAGCGGGCAGAACAAAGAGCCCATTCTCTGCATGAGGCAGCAGGTAGGCAAATCCTGGGCGAGGCAGCAATCATGTTGGGGCACAGGCACATGAGGAGTCGCTTCCCTGGCTGCTGCCCACGCAGCATCCCTGTGGCTGCATGTGGCTGCTGTGGAGCCTGCACAGGCCAAATCCACCCCACAGTTGCTCATGGATGAAAGAAACTAATTTTCTTTCAATATTCCTTGTATTCTGATTTCTCTCTCATAAATTCCTTCCTAGCCAAAACTGTGGGCACACGTACCCTACGTTTCTCGCCGTGCTTTGGTGCGCTGGGCTTCTCTGCAGTCAAGGTAACACTTGTTTTCACTCCCCTTCATGACTTTAACTGAGGGATGGAGAGCACTTTAGTACTTCAGACCCCTAAAGGAGTCATGGACAAGATTTCACTGAATGGAGACATTCAAGGTCAGGCTGGACCAGGCTCTGAGCAACCTGATCTAGCTTTAGATGTTCCTGTCCCAACTCAAATGATTCTGATTCTATGGGGCTAGGGAAGGCAGGCATGTGAAAGTGGTATTGTCACCCACCTATAGCTGATGACATACACTGAGCATTTATGCGTTCCTCTCAATGGATTCTGGCAATACAATTGGATAAAGATAGGTCAGGAGCATAACTGCTGCTTTCCTAGGGCTTGTGTACTCTTCTTTCTGAAAAGGAAGTTTCATCACCAGATGAAGAGGTGTGGGGAAATCTGGTACACTCCTTTCTGAGTTTCAGTGGGACCAGGTGCATGTTTTGCATGACTGAGGGAAGAAATACCCTCAAAAAGTCCTTGGAAAAGGGAGAGTGGGTACAATACATGTGAGGGACCCAAGCTGATGTTTGTAATGTGTTCTTCTACCCTTTGTGCAGCACCTGCCGCCTTTGCTGGCCTGATGTACTTGTTTGTGAGGCAGAAGTACTTTGTGGGCTACTTGGGGGAGAGGACCCAGAGGTAAGGCTTTGCAGAACCTTTTCATAAAACCTGGGGTGTTTCAGAACCACAGAACAGCTGGGGTGGGATGGGACCTCCGGAGGACTCCTGGACTGACCCCTGCTCTAGCAGGGACATCCAGAGCAGGGTGCCCAGAGCAACATCCAGGTGGCTTTGGAGGATCTCCAAGGAGGAGACTCCACAGATTCTGGGCAGCCTGTGCCAGTGGTCCATAACCCACACAGAAGTGCTCCTGGTGTTATAGGGAACCTCCTGTATGCCAGTTTGTGCCCATGACCTCTGGTCCTCAAACTGGGCACCTCTGTTCCAGGCTGAACAGTTCCAGATCTCTCAGCCCCTCCTCACAGGAGATGCTCCCATCCCTCACTACCTGCATCAACACATGCATGTGTGTGTTTGTGCTAGTATTTGCACAACATCCTCCTCTGATATTAATAAAGCTAATTATTCATGTGAGGAGCAAAACCATCCCACAGCTGCTGGTGGCTGTAAAGACGTACATGTCACTCTGAATAGTCACTTTGGTGAGAAAAGCCCTGTATTGAGGTGAGGAGATATCCAGGCCCAAACTGTTCAGAAAATTTCCAATGACATCTACAAGCTTGCAGCGGGCCAAGCAGAAGAGCAGGAATTCCCTCCTCTGTGACAACCCCTGGAGAATGCACCTGCTGATCTCAGCCAGAGCCTGGAGGCTGAGGGCTCCTTAGGTAAAGTGGTCCCGATAACAAACTGCTTTCCTCTCTTCCTGTCTCCCCAGCACACCCGGGTACTTGTTTGGGAAGCGTATCATTTTGTTCCTGTTCCTCATGTCTGTGGCTGGTATACTCAACTACTATCTCATCTACTTCTTTGGAAGTGACTTCGAAATTCACATAAAGACAATAACCAGCGCCATCTCACCACTGCTTCTCATTCCCTAGCTCCTCACAGTGCCCAGGGGTCAGCCTGCTTCACATATCAATATCCAGAAGCAGCTATAATTCAGCTGTTTAAGAAATAAACCTACAACCCTTTCAAATTGCTGTAAATCTAATGCTCAGTGGGCTTTGTAGCTTGATTTAACCTTGCTTTTTCCTTCAGGAAAAAGATTTATTGTGAGCACTCAGCATGCTCAAGGAACGGTAACAACTTCCAGTTAATTCATCAGAGTTTTTTCATTAAACTGCATTTTGAAAGCCAGTTGCAGACTGTAAGGGACATTTTATGCTTTCATTGTAACTATTTTCCTTAATGCTCATGATGAAAGCCAGGACCCTCTGAGCTTCATTCCTGAAGGATGTGCAGCCACAACCACGTCCTGAAGCAGGCTTTCACCCATCTGCCTATGCAAATGAACAGGGTAGCCTCTTCTCCCACCCTTTCCCTTGCATTTGTTGGTGATTGAGAGCAGGACAGCAGGCTGGCCCCTGTCTGGTTTTCCTTGATCAATATTCATGTGTGTAATGCTCCCAGCACTGATCTCATCCATACCTCAGCCTGGCTATCCTCCCAGAGCTGTGGAAAGGGGCCTTACATCAATGAGGATCTGGTAAATTGACAGCAAGATTGGTTTTGTTTTGCTTTGCTTAATAAAATAGCCTCAAAGGATGAAATCCATTTGCTCCCATCTTCTTTGTACACCATTGATGTGATGCAGGTGAGTAGCACAGCCCCACCACCTGTGGGAGCTGCTCTGAGGGACATGTTTTTAACAGCTCTCTCCCTATTAGCAAGCTCAATTAGCAGCCTTCATCACTAACAACACGCCCCAGCAAGTTCATGCCAAAGAGCAGCCTGATGAGAGAAGAAAGCTGTGATGGGCAGACAGCCCAGCGCAACCTTTGTAAGCATTGCTACCATAAGAGTGCTTAAGCTCTTAAACCTATCCGATTACCACATGCAGGATGGGTAAAGCTGCATGCCATGACGCCTTTTGGAAGGATGGTGTCACAGCTACATGAGCAGATGCTTTGCAGAATTGCAGTCAAAAGAGCCCCAGTGCTGTGGCTCCATGACACGTTTCTCTGCTGCCTTTTCTCTCTCACAACCACTAGTCCTTGGTGGTGGCCCACTATCCCTCCTGGCCACCGTGGGGCCACCAAGTGATGGCAGCTCCTCAGGAAGAGAGGGGCAGCTTCTCATGTCCTGGAGTGACAGAATCTATCCACACTCTGGGAGCAGCAAACGTTCACATGCCACAGCTGTTACACAGTCTAGAGGAGGAGATGCTCTCAGGGCCTCCACCAGCACCACAAAGGCCCTGCTTTTCAGCCAGTCTGGTGTCCTTAAGCTCTGAGGCTTGGTCATAGAATCGCAGAGTCACAGAATCACAGAACAACCCAAGGTGGAAGGGACCCACAAGGATCATTGAGTCCAACCCGTCTCCACACAGCACCACCCAAATCCAATTCCAATGTCTGAGAGCACTATCCAAATGCTCCCTGAGCTCTGGCACTCATGGCCGTGCCCACAGCCCTGTGCAGGCTGTTCCATGCCCACCGCCCTGTGGTGCAGACCCTTTCCCTCACCCCCAGCTGCCCTCCCCTGCCGCAGCTCCATGCCGTTCCCTCGGGCCCTGTCGCTGTCACACAGAGCAGAGCTCAGCGCTGCCCTCCGCTCCCTGTGAGGAGCTGCAGCTGCCATCAGGCCTCCCCTCAGCTCCTCTGCTCTGGGCTGAGCACACCAGGGGCCCCGGCTGCTCCTCACACACCTTGCCCTCCAGAGCCTTCTCCATCTTTGTAGCCCTCCTTTGGACACTCTCTAATAACTTTATGTCCATTTTGTACTGTGGCACCCAAACTGCGCCCAGTGCTGGAGTTGAGACTACACAGCACAGAGCACACAGCCACACAGATGGCTAACAGTGCTGGGCATGGAGCATCTCTGTGTACAGTTGGCCTTTTTGGCTCTGAAGATGGTCACCTGTTGGAGGCAGCTCTCCCAACACTGTGTGCCTGCTCTGCACATCACCAGATGTGTGAAGATCCCCTGCTCTCCTTTTTGTCCTCTGCAGCAAGGAGCAGCCCACTTGAGCTTTGTCTGCCAGCTCCTGCCAGCATGGGAAGCAATTCTGATTCTCTTCACCTGCACTGAAGGGCAGAGAATGATTGAATGACTCTTTGGGGTTCATCCCAGCACTCTCAGGCTTCTCTGATGACTCAAAGGCTGGTCTATACGCCTGTATGTAGGTGAGATCACTCAGGCCTGGCCATCTTCAGAAGGAACTGAGTCTAGCCCATTTTCTGCTGTACTAATTTATGAGTATTTTGCAAGAATTTCACCAATTTACTTCCTCAAAGCTTTTCTGATAACAAAAGAAATGAAAATGTAGGCAAAATCCATTTTCCATCTGCCTATAAGTGGAAATGATGATAGTCACAGACAGACAAACAGGTGGTGCATGAACTGATCACTATGTAAATCTTCCATGAATGTCACACTCTGTTTTCCAGGCTGCAGGGATGGCTTGTGGTTACATTTGCCTTTTTACTCTGTCTATGAAAAAGAAAAGGCAACACAAGTGTTATTTAGGCTTTCCTCGCTATGTTACACAACGCCAGTTTTTGTTTTCTGCATGCAAAACTACCCTGATCTGGGCAGCGCAGTCACCACCACTTTGCACATCAGAAAGCTGCAAGCATAGATCCTTGTGCACAAATACATATGCTGCTGTAAAAGACATGCAGACGCATACTAGGATCGTATACACATGAACCTGAAAGGACCTGTTGAGTTGCACTGGACATGGAGGCAAGGTTGGTGGCAGAGCCTCGTGATGGCTCCTGTTCAGGGCTAGCCTGCAAGCTGCCAGGGCCTGCACCTGTGCTTGGTACTGGACCAGAGATGAAGCCAGGGCTCTGTGCAAACATCTATTGCTTTCTCATCCTGCTAACTGTGCTGTTCCTCTAACTTTCCCCAGCTTCTTGTGATGGAATGCCACAACCACACTGCCTGACCATCTATATCCCAGATAAACACATAAATGCACTGTGTATGTGTCTATATACACAAGCACAGTGTTTTCTTACTGTATCTATATATAAATATATGTTAGCTGCTGATTCATATGACTGCTAGGTTTTCAGGAAGGCAGGGATGCGGGTCACTTGGGCACCAGCCCTCTTCCAGCTTGCAGGCTGTGTACATCAGAGATATGGAGATTGCTGGAAGCTGGGCTGTGGCAGGATGCATTTCAGCTGCTGACAAAGCTCCAGAGCGCACACACTATTCTTACCACAGCAGCACATCTTCCATACAGCACTACAACCCTCTAGTGGAAACTTGGTCCTTTTGACATGCAGGTCGCTTCTGATGCCAGATGAGCTGCTTCTTGGAGCCTGACAGTGATGTAATAGCACTCACAGCTCTCAACAGATGCCTTTCTACTACTGAAAGCAATTTTTTATTATTCTGCCACATCAGAGTCCGATCCTGAAGCATGACCCATCCTATCTGTCACAAAGTGTTCAGTGTTGAATACAGAGAAGCAGATAAAATCCAGGTAGGAGAAGAAATCTCTACATGCCACCCAGAAGAATTTCCAACATTTAGCAAATTCTCAACTTCCCCAAAATTACCCATTTAGTCTGTGTCTGTGCCAAATTTCTGAACACATTTCTGAGGGTCAAGTCACTTCAGCCAGAGTGAATGGGATGAGCACTCCCATGGAGAAGCTGCAGATCCTGCAGAGCATGGCAGAGCCCCTGCAGGTAGCACTCTGACACCTGCAAGAGGGAAGCTATGACATTCATTGGGGGAACTTGGGGAGCTTCGCTGATCTTTTGAAGGTTTCTGTCCCAAGAATCACTAGTGAGATGCAGGACACCAGGAGACAAGCTCCCTGCACAAGAAGCTGCTTTTTCCCTTTAGAGGAGAAATAACTAACTTGTGAGTTATTTGTGAGTAAATAGCCAGTAAGTATGCCTGCTGGTGGATCGGCCTGATGAAAAAACATAGGAGCTGATCTGGCTGAAAACCACCTTTTTACTTATTTTACCCTTTATTGGGTTATTTTTAATCCTGCTCAGCTCCCCAGTCTTTCACAGCTATGGTGGTACAACCAAGATGTCACACCGACTGGGGAGCCAGGGACCCTACAGAATACTCATCCACTGTAAATGCCATCTTACATTTTTTTTTGCCTTCAGACACTCCTGCATGTGTGAGGTTTCCTCTCCCTAACTCACTTGAGAAGTCACCACATCCCACTTCTCGCACCTCACCTAGTCCATAGCATTCACATAGCATCCCATCCATCACAGAAAATAAGTTTGTGCCTGGTTTCTGCCAACCTTTTCCTGCTGCTGTATGAGACCTCTGACAGCACCAAGCCTACACAAGGCATACAAGCTACAAGGCTAACAAGTGGAAAATAGCAGCAGGAAACTGTCTGGGCATGCTACAGGCACCAGAACCCTGTGAATCATTGCTTACCCCACCCACTGACAGTTTAATGGCTCCTGGACTGCTGTATTGCAGAAAAGTACTTTTATTTCCCAAGCAGGGTCTCAACTTTGTGATTATTAATTTTTTTTTTTCCATGGTAGCAGGATGTAGCCCTTCTGATGGGGCTTAGCTGGCAATGGCAAAGTCTGAGTTCCAGTTTGCAGAGGTTGCTAATGAAACATCAGATCCTTGGCAAATAGCTGAGCTTTTCCTGTCCCCACCACGTCACACTGCCTTGAAAACAGTGTTTCATTGAAAGGGAGAAGTGAAAAGCAGGAAGGTAGATAAACAGTGATGCCTTGTTAGCAGAAAGGGCTCCCAGTGGTGGGGAAACACCCTAAGTAAGATCAGTATTTCACACATCCACCAAACCATTATCTTCACATCTTCTTCTCATGAGGTGCCACCAAAGTGCTTGTCCCACCGGAGCTCCCACTTCCCTATGGGACTTTCCTGAACCTGGCTTTTCCTGGCCTTACCACAATTGTACCCTAGGGTACTCAGTGCCAGTATTTCCCTGTAAAACCTCTTTACAAGAGACTGCCCTATCCTTTGGGGTTTTGGGGGTTCCTCCTGCGGGTCAGACTGCCGCTTGCCTCCGAAACCCCAATCAGCAGTTCCTGGTTTCCCTAAGACATGTGTGGTCTAGCAAGCAACCTGCCAGCCAGCCAGTGTCCTAATTGCAAACAGCATGAACTCGCCTAGGCTGCATTCCTGGCATTTACCAGGCACTGGGCAAAAGGCGGGACATGAAGATGCTCACCCACACAGCTGTGGGCAGTCTTTACCCACTGTCACTACACAATGCGTCAGTGGCCCTGGGGTATGCCAGAGGAGGCTGTGAGACCTGTACTGGATACCACTGAGCAGAGCCTGATTCTGACCTCTCTGCCCCCTTCCATAGGGTATTTATTGATGCTGAGATCCCCTGAGCCTCCTCCATGCTGAGCAGTCCCAGCTTTCTCAGCCTGTCCTCACAGAATAGATGCTCCAGGCCCTTCAGCATCTTGGTGGCCCTTCACCGGGCTCTCCAATAACTCCATGTCTCCCTTGGACTGGGGAACCAGGTTTGGACCCTCCCTCAAATTGGCAGAAGACTGCCTAGTTCTGTGGGTTGCAGCAACCCTCAGGGAGAGTCTGACAGGGACCAGCGCTGTTGCACAATGAATGGCAGTGTATCTTCTCCTGTGTTTGGGAATTGTGTTGGGCTTCTTGCAGAATCACAGATCACAGAGTTTCAGGGATTGGAAGGGACCTCTGGAGATCACTCAGTCCAGCGCCCTGCTAAAGCAGATTTCTACTGTAGGTTGAGCAGGAAAGCATCCAGGTGAGTTTTGAACATCTCAGGGAAGGAGACTCCACCACCTCTCTGGGCAGCCTGTTCCAGTGCTCTGACACCCTTACAGTAAAAAAGTTCCTTCTCATGTTTGGATGAATTTTCTGTGTTCCAGTTTGTGTCCATTGTCGTGTCACTGGACACCACCAAAAGGAGCCTGGCCCTATCCACTTGTCTCCTGCCACTTAGATATTTATAAGCATTGATAAGATCCCCTCTCAGCCTTCTCCTCCCCAGATCTCTCAGCTTTTCCTCATAAGGGACATGCTCCAGGTCCCTCATCATCTTTGTAGCCCTCGACTAGACTCTTTCTAGGAATTCCCCATCTTGCTTGAACTGGGAAGCCCAAAACTGGACACAGTACTCTAGATGTGGTCTCACCACGGCAGAGGAGACCTTCCTCGATCTGCTGACCATGCTATTTTTAACACCTATTTATACCATTGGCCTTCTTGGCTATAGGGGCACACTGCTGGTTCATGGCTAACCTGCTGTCCATTAGAACATCCATCTTACTCTTCAGAGCTCCTTTCCAGCAGGTCAGCCACTAACCTGTACTGAGGCAGGCAGTACACGTGGATGGTGTCTGGTAAGCTACATTGTTGGGAGTTCAAACTGGTGGAGTAATTCTGTGCAAATCTGTTCTTTTGTCAAATGATTCGCAAGTGACTACAAATAAGTTTTGTCAGTATTGTATGGGAAATTTCACACTGAAAATGCATGAAATATCTGCAGTCCCTCTACACTGTAGCTGGGCTGGGCTTGCTTGCTCCCTTTACAAGCTACCACACATACACCTCAAAATTCAGGCTGTAAACAGAGGTCACCATATCCCAGCATTGTCCTCTCATTGCTGCATCCTCCACACCACAGAAAGTGGATCCCACACAGGTGCTCATGAACTTCCCCATCCAGAGGTCCCATCTCCACTGCTCAGCATCTTTGGCAAGTGTCAAGTGCTCAAGATTCTGTCTAAGTTTTGTTTCCATCATGGCAGCATTGTTTATCATTGCTGTCTGGGCCTTTCTAACCCAGATGGCAAATGTTAGCTGGCTTTTTTCTATGCTTGATTACTGTACCATTTTTATTTTTATTATTTTTAATACTAACAAGGGCACTAAAGTTCATTGGTGGTCCAGTTCTTGGGCTGTCATTATAAGTACCAGTAGACATTTGTGGGAGGTACACTTAACATACTCCTACTGTAAGTGTCCAGTTATGGAACAGACCTGTAAAAAACCATGCAAGGGTATGCCACTTGTTATTGGTATTCACCTTCAGTGCAGTTAAAACTGAAATGGGAATTGATCACTATACCAGGAGATCCTACTGGTTACACTATGGGTGTTACTGCTTCACCAGGTACAGTGGCTGCCTCAAATACACCAGCCTTGGGGCTGAGACAGGATAAGCTGTGACTGGCTGCCTTACACACTTCTTTTCTGCCTCAGCACATCTTATATCACTTAGGCCAATGCTTTTCCAACAGGTCTCAGGATTTAGTGCTGTTGGTATTTGATCAGGCAGATCCCCGAGGAACCATTTTGATAGTGGAGGATATGAGTGCAGAATATGAAGGGACCACCTGGGTCATTAAACTCCGTCCCCTGTTGTCCCTGGCAACCATATAATAGACATTTAATCCAGAAAAGTTCAGCTACCTCTATTCCTCCTCCCCTGTGTGGCCGGAGCCTGTAACTTGATATTAAAGCCGTCACTGAAAGCACATTTCTTGCTGCAAAAAGGCAGTGCTCCCAGAAAATGGAAATTCTCCTGTGTCTTTGGTCATAATATATTGTCAGGAATAACGCCGCTTCCAGCAATAGCATTACACACAGCCAGACTTGGCATCTCCCCACTTTCTCAGCCATTTTAGAGATTTATAACTAATAATTACAAAGCTGGATAAATAATTAGACTCTGAGGCTTTGTCTGAGCTTTTTTTCTTATAAATAAATCCCTTATTCACAAGATATATTAAAACACCTGTCAGCAGTATAACATGCATTTCATACTGGTGACTTGCTTACTTCCTGCCTGGGTGCATTGATTTTATTTCCATTATCCATAATATTTTATTCATGTAATTATCAGGACTGTCTTCCATCAGGAATACATCTGCTCTGTGTGTACAGGTGTACATCAGTGTCTGTAGTGATATATACTGAGGTTGGTTCGCATACAGAAGCACACCAACACCGTTACAGAGGGTGAGCACAAGGCAGAAACCCACTATGAAATGGTGGGGCCATCCTGCATTACACCTGATCTCCACATGAATGCTGAGCTTTGCTGGAGGTGTGGCAGAGGCAGCCACATTGTCCCACTGAAGGAGCACTGTGAGGGAACAGCAGTGGCTCCTGGCAACAGCCTGGAACTGTGCAGAGGAACTGTTGGATAATGTCTTGAAATATCCTCAGGAGGTTCTTGTAAGGAGAGGAAGATTAAAAAAAGCAGAGAAAGGTATTGCAGCACTGAGCTCTCACGGGATCTACTCCTATCAGGTATGCCTTGAGCATTTTTAATGCATCTACCCTTTGTATGCACAAAAGCAGCTGCCCAACCACTTAAAGTCAAGGACGGGTGAGTACATATCAGGTTAGATTTATGAAAGAACAGGGATTCTCAGCACAGGGAAGAGATGAGCACATCATCTTGCATCAGATGAAAGGAGATTTATTAGAGAGAGGGTATGGGAGGCTCAGGGGAGCTGCAATATTAACATGAACTGCAAACAACAGCAATCTGTAGGAATTTATTCTCTCAGAACCACATTCTTCTTTTCCCCACTGGGTCCAGACCTTGCAACAGGAGCCATGGGAATGTAACAAACCCACAAGCAGCAATTCTGCATGAACACCACCAAAAGTGGAAGGGCTGAAGAGATCCCCCAAGGACTTTTCAAAACTCCCATTCAATGCTATGTTTTTCTGGAGGTATCTTCACCTTTCTCTTTTGCCAGAGAGCAGTGGTGAGCCGTCTGCTCCCCAACAGCCACAGCAGGGCAGCAGTAGGTGGCCAGCTGCTAAACAGGGGATAGGATTGTTTGAGAAAATGTGTTAGTCATTGCACTTCTCAGAAAAACCTTCAGTAACCACCAAGTGCTCTTACAGCTTCAAGGGGTGTTTTTATTTCCTTGATGTGTTGCGTTTTATTTTTTGGTATTACCTTGTGAAAAGCCCCAGAAAACTACTGCCTTTAGCAGAAGAACCTTCTGTCCCAAACTCCTTTTTTTTCTTCTTCTTCTTCTTTTTTCTTTTTTTTTTTTTTTCCACACTTCCTCAACCCAATCCTGGCATAGCATTGCTCAGAGAGCACCCAGATACCACAGTCATCTCCCTTGTACTCGTTTTTCCTCTTGAAATGGCAGGTTCATGCTACCCCATTAAAAAAGTCGAAATACTCTTTTTATCATTAATTGTCCTTGTGGGTCAATTTCCCTCTGTATGTAAATGGAAATTATAGGGATAATACTGACCTATGTTTATCATATTTTTCACATGGTTAGTTAGAACTTTCTGCCTGGGGTCCGTGCAGTCAGACATTGTTGGAGCAGCATGGTGAGAGCAGACTAGCTCTTGTCTGATGAGGCAAACTGTGGGACTGAGACACTGGAGCACACCTCATACAGGGCTACTGGGTCTGAAATTAGGGATTTTCACTGTATAATCTACATGGAATTCATTGCTAAGCCACGCTCTCTTCAGGATGTGATGGAGTTGGAGAAAGGGCAGAAAGGGACAACTAAAATGGTAAAATATTTTAAGGTAAGGAAAAGCTAAAAATGCTTTGAAGATGAGAAGTGGAGAGAAGGTTATGACCAACATTTGCAAAATCATAAAGGCAGTGGATGAGGTGAACGCAGAACTGTTATTCATCATATCCCACATATTAGAACTAGGTAGAGAGTGATGGAAGTAATAGCAGATTGGGTTAAGGTAGATAAAAGGGCCTCTTCACACAGCAGGGTAGTGAACCTATACAATTTGTTTAAACAAGAAAGTTGTGAAGGAAAGAGGACAGGAGGAAAAAGAAGATAAGACACTCTTATGGGAAGCAGGTCCACAGCATATGCTAAATGAAACACACAGGGATGCTCCACCTACAAATCCCAATACACACTGGACCAAGTGCAAAAATGCCTGAATGAAGGCATGGCCCAGAAATGAAGCAGTGGGGCAGTAGAGAATGGACAGGGTCAAATATCTCCTCTTTTGCATATCACTGTCGTCATATCTGTCGTGTATGTCTCTAGTCTATATTCATCAACAATTGTGCAGTAAGTCTTGTAAGAACGCATCTACTTAGCTTATTATAAGAACACATCCCCAACCTATAATTATTGCACAAAAAGTAAAATAAGAATTAAGTATGACGAGCTGTGATTTACAAGAATGAGTAAGCCAGTGTTTAATCTAGCCAACTAATTTTCCGTTAAATCTTTGGTGAAAGCCACAGGCAGGCTTCCAGCATGTGAGTCTTTCTTCAGTATTTCCTACTGAGGAGAACAAGAATTCATCTGGAGCTACAGACTGCTGGGGGTAACTGGCTCTTCTCCACCTGGTTTTCACCCATTCTGCAAAGATCCCACCAAAACTGAAAAGCATTTCCTAAATTTGTAAAATGTGCAGCCACAGTGGAAGGACTTCTGCAATAACCAGGCAACACGGCTGTATTGCAGAAGGAATTTGACCCTCAGCTGCAGTGGGATTGGAGTACTGTGAGGAGCAATGACTGTCAGGTTACATATGGGTCTGAATTTCTTCAACCTATGTCAATGGGAGCCATGTGGAGAGGTTTGGGGAAATCATTTTCCATACAGCCCATATGGAAAGAAATCTGGAAATCTCAGTGCCCCAGTCTCTTGACCAAATCCAGACTTCAGAAACCCTACCTAAGACATGTTTTTAATTGCAAATTTTAGTGCTTTTCTGCCCGTGTGCACCTCCAGTGAGAGGGCCCAGAAACATCCCAAGGTACTTCCCACACCTTTTCAGTATGCTCAGAAGCTATTTCTGAACCTTGTAAGACATTTTACTGAGGGTAAGCAATCGGGCAGAGTGCATGAAACTGTGCTCCAAAAATGGAATTTGGCAGAGCACAGGGTGAAGGAACATGAACACGGAGTGGACAAGAGTGCATTAATGTACATCTCAGATGTTTAATGCTGTGGTTCTTTAATGTTAAACACTTAATACCTAAATCATTTTGGACACAGGTGATGTAAGGTTCTATTTTACTTACTATGGAAGCCTTTCACTCTCTCAAAATGTTTGGTGTGTGTATTTTTGCTTAAACAACCTGTGGAGGAAGCTGAAGGAAGAGATTATTCTCCGGACTGCTCAGTCTATAGGATTTAGTTAATTTGTAGCTGTGACTCTCAGACAGAAAATAGGGCAGAGCTTCAGGTAGTAAACAGGAATGCTGAGCTCATCTAGGCTTACAGGGCAGGGAGGAAGAAACACTGCTACTTATGGCCTTTAAAGTGACCTGTGGAACAGCTGTTAGGCTGCTCCAAATCTTGTACAAGTTTGAGCAGTGGCAACACTGACAGTCCTGATGGCACATGCGGGAGGATTTAGCACCACAAACTGATGGAGATGGCCTACGGAAAGGGAAATATTTGTAGACCCACAGCCAGAGCTTTGGTACCCTAAAGGTGGCTGGCAAGAGCCCAGGTGAATGGCTGGTGAGGTTCTTGGAGGCCACAGAGAGGTCCCAGGGGTATCATTCTGCAGAGCTCAGATCAGGTCAGCACACCACGAGACCATCTCCTATGGGGGAAAATGTATATTTAAAAACAGATAAATATGGATTCGGAGATGTGTGCTGAAAAGTGTTATGTTAAAGCATCACATTTAAAGAAGCAATGGCTACAGAGTGAAGAAGTCTGTAGGTGGGAACACCCACAGACATAGTCTGCAATAGGTTTTTTGAGGTCTAGATACTATGCCACATCTCATTTACATGTTTTCTGTAAGCATGTCCTTGTTTTCTGTGCAGTAAAGCAATCTCTGAAGTACATTGGCACTTTTTATCTAACAGTTACATTCAAAGATTTACAAACATTATTCTAGAGCTTTAAATTCACATTTTCTGAAAGCATAGAACTTTATCTAGCACTCCAGCAAACAGCTTAAGCTGGTATGCAGGATAGCAACAATGCAATGTAATAATGCAGGCTTATCATTTTGTGACCCCCTCTTCATTTGCAAAACATGATCACATCAGACTTGCATTTCAAAGTAGCTTTTTTCATTAGATCTGCACCTTAGATGGCATCATCCCTTAAGAACTCTTCCTGTTCCCCATGTGATTTTAACCAACAGATGGCAGCAACCCTATTGCTAATGGCCCAACAGCTGCGATTTTTGTTCTCATCGAGGCGCATGGTTGCTCAGATGCTTGGGTGCCGCAGACTCACCCATGAGCCTTGTGGTCAGAAGGGCACCAGAAGAGTCTCTGTAACAGAGCAAGTGGCCATGAAGCACAAAGTGTCTTCATCTAAACTTGTCCAGCTGTGCTCTTCATTGTGTTCTTGGGGTCAGGGTGGTTTAAATGAGGTTACAGGTGCCCCACAAAGCATGACTGAGTCCTACCAGAGACAACAAACACTGCAGCCCCATTGGTTGTGAGGCAGCTGGCATTCAGCATCACCAGAATTCTAACCATCAATTTTTGGTGCATGAACTTTCTGTGTTTTATGTAACTCATTTATTTACACATGGCATCCATCCTGTTTGCCAAACAGCACTTGGCACCAAGCGCATGTAGGTGGTCCTCGTGGTGACACACCACTGGCACAGTTCTCCACTCCTGGCTCCTTGCCACTTGTCCTCTAGGGGCACGTGGTTATTCACAGACAGCCACAGAAAACCACTTGAAACTCAAAACCACTTGAAACTCAGTCTCCCCACAGAAAAACTTTCCTCCTCATCCAGCACTTACATTTTACACTCTTTTTATGCTTAAGCTGGCCATGAGCATTGATGGTGTTAAATTCATTTTTCCTGCAGACATCCAGTGCACACTCTGTGCATCTTATACACATTCTGCTGCATATACAACATATAGCCCCAAGGCTTAGACAGGGCCAGCCAAAAACTTCTTTGGATGACCACACCACACTCCTTCTCTCTTTCTCTCTTTCTCTCTTTCTCTCTTTCTCTCTTTCTCTCTTTCTTTCTCTCTCTCTTTCTCTCTTTCCCTTCCTTCCTTCCTTCCTTCCTTCCTTCCTTCCTTCCTTCCTTCCTTCCTTCCTTCCTTCCTTCCTTCCTTCCTTTTCATCTCTAAGAATGATAGAATTTGGAACAGGTTGCTCAGAGGGGTTGCTGGTCTTCATCCTTAGAGAAATTCAAAGCCCAGTTAGGCATGTTTCTGGGCATGGACATTGTCCTGCACTGGCTGAGCCTGCTTTAGCAAGCAGGTTGAATGAAATGACTTCCAGAAGTTCCTTCCAACCAATACTCTTTAAATAACTGTGTTCAATTTAAGTCAAAAGCATATTTTTTCCCGAAGTGAGAGCTGAAGCCAAGAAATGACACAGAAAGATGAATCAGTGAGATCTTATGATTTTAGCTATTTTTTTTTAGAATTTTGATTGTTCCTTAAAGTAATCATGATTAGGTCTTATTGATGACTTTATTTTTCAGAAAATGAAAGCCTGTTGAATTCCAATCCATGAAAAAATCAGCACTGCCAATATCCCAGACACCAGACTAATAACTTCCCTCCTCCATTACCTTCCAGGCTAAATGAGATGGATTAGGCATTTTAATTAAGTATAGGCAGACATCTTGGAAAGCATATAGAAAATGACCTAAGCCACAATTAGCTCACTAGGTCTGTGGGGGCTTTCTTACATTCTTGATTCCACTGCATACATTACTGTGCCTCTGCACAGCACTTCAGGCTGACAAGAATACAGAAGCACACACACTGTTGAACTTTCCTTGTCCCTCTGGTCTTATCTCTGATCTGTGTCCCTGCAGTATGCCTGGAACTATGCTAGTGTGCATCTCACAGTGGGGCCCTCTTGACTCTGCTGTGCATAAATACATTAACTTGCTGTCCTCATCTCATTTATGTGATCTCCAGGGAACATTATCGGTGCTTGCCCCAGGAGAGGACAAAGAAGAGGAAGTTCACCCTGCCAGCCTTCGCCCAAGGGTCAGTGCAGCTGCAAGCCCTGCTCTCAGGAGAACAGCACTCAGTGCCCCTGGAAGGAGGGAGGTAGGATCCGGCATGGCCGTGATGCTTGCAGATAGAAAGGAGCTGAGAAGAGGGGGTTGCAGCCACAGTGCTCAGAGAAGGCTACATGTATGCTAGAAGACGTTTCATTTGCTTCTGCTTTTTTGAAAAACAAAAAAAGAAATAAACTGAAAGTAAATCAAAATAAACATTCCAGCTTCTACGAGTTCACTGAAAAACAGCCCAGCTGTAATAACAACAAATCATACACAGTGCACAGCTCATTTTTCCTTCTGTAGGTTAACCAGAGAAGGTCACAGCAATCATGTTTAATAAAAGAAGTCTTGCCTTATTTTCTGGCATTGGCTCTGAGCAATTGGCCTGCAAGTATTGCTTTCAAAATCATTTCCCAGTTATTCTGTGTCTTTTCTGCTCATCGTTCCTTGAGGCATTTCCAGACAAGTAGATTATTTCTCTCTTAAAAAAAAGAAAAAAGAAAAAAAGAAAAAAGATTTTATTAATTTAGCTCAGATTTCAACCAGCACACATTATAAGTCTCTGCAGATTGTGTATTATCATGGGAATTTAGAATATACAGTAATTGAAATATATTACATTCAGGTAAAATCTCAGGAGGGCAGTTTGAAATGATGGTTTAATTCTCCTGCATTTTTAAAAGTCTGTGAATGTTATGAAAATGTCACCCAGAGACTCTCCCTACACTGATGAACTGGTTTACTGTTTTCTCCTAACGGCACGTCATATTTTTTCTTTGACAGCCACCTCCAAGTACTTGGCTTAGTTATCAGGAGATACTTTGAGAAGTCTGCATTGTGAAGTTCATTGGTGTTTTGTGACTTGCCACATTCTGGTGACTGCTGAGCCATGTCACTTGTGGTTACATCCACCATCTGAGGGCAGCCACACTCACCACACACTGTGCACAGCCACAGACACTCCACAGATCAGCTGCAGGATGTCCCACCATCACCTTCTCAGGATAAGACCAGGATCTGATTTGTCATCCAGACATCCCAGTTTTGAGGTCCTCTTTGCCAGGCCTGCCAGCATCCCTTGCAGTGAGCTAAGCAAGTGCCACCAAGCCTGCAGAGCCTTGTTAGTGCGCATGGAGGATGACTCACACAGACTCACAGCTGTCACTGCCACCCACCTTAGGAACAGAGAGCCATGGTGTTGGAAATCTTGCAACTTGTCCTAAAATCAGGACTGCTCACAGGGAGTGAGCAGTCATCCTGTGACATGCCACTTCTATGAGACCCTCAGGAGACTAATTGCTCACCCATGAGCCCCAGCTGTAAGTGACACCCCCTTGGGGCAGCCTGCTCATTTGTTGGGGTGGGATGCTATCCATGGAGATAGGGAACCACACAAATATTCCCCAAGCCAGTGCTTTTCTACAGCTGCACTGTTGGGAATCTCCTCAATGAGCTGAAGGACAGAAACCTGGGGTCCTACACCTTCCCTTTACTCCAGACTTACCAACCAGCTCAGGTTCTGCAGGGAGCCAGGGACCTTTCCCCCGTCAGTGCCTGTCAGTGCCTTGATCTCCCTAGCATTTCTCCAGCCTAAAAGACTGGGAAACTTCTGCTTCTCCTCTCCTGTCCCAATTAAAAGTAAAACAAAATATTATTATTTCAAGTCAGTTGTATGCAGCTGAGATCTGGGTGCCAGGTGCTTCCTTAGAGCCTCTGTGGGCATCATAATAATAAGAGAATCTGTGATGTGTCTGTGCCTGCATTTCTCCAACCTAAGGCTGTCTAGATCCCATGGACATTCCCCCTCACTTGGCAGGTTGCTGTGGGAACCACGCAAGCAAGTCAGTGGTGCCTTTGGTCTGATCTGAAGGATCAAATGCAAGGTCCTGCACCTGGGTAGAGGCAATCCCAAGCACAAATACAGATTGGGCAGAGAATGGCTCCAGAGCAGCCCTGAGGAAGAAGATTTGGAGATACTGGCTGATGAAAGACTCAACACGAGCCAGCAATGTGCATTTGGAGCCCAGAAGGCCAAATGTTGAGGGAGGAGATTCTGCCCCTCTGCTTGCTCTTGTGAGACCCCACCTGGAGCATTGCCTCCAGTTCTGGGGCCTCCAGTACAAGAAAGACATGGAGCTGTTGGAGCAGGTCCAGAGGAGGAACATAAAGATGATCAGAGGGCTGGAACACCTCTGCTATGGGGAGAGAGCTGGGACTCTACGGCCTGGAGAAGGCTCCAGGGAGACATTATAGTGGCCTTTCAGTATCTGAAGGAGGCCTACAGGAAAGCTGAGGAGGGACTTTTTATAAAGGCATGTAGCAACAGGATGAGGGAAAATGCTTTAAGGTGGACAAGGGTAGACTAGATATTAGGAAGAAATTCTTTACTGTGAAGGTGATGAGACATTGGAACAGGTTGCCCAATGAGGTTGTGAATACCCATTCCCCATAAGCATTCAAAGCCAGGCTTGTGGGGCTTTGAGCAACCTGGTCTAGTGGGAGGTGTCCCTGCCTATAGCAGGGGAGTTGGAGCTAGGTGATCTTAAAGGTCCCTTCCAACCCAAACCATTCTGTGATTTTATGATTCTATTATTGGCAATATTGATGTCAAAACTTTTATCTCTTTGAAATCCCAGCACCTTCTGCAAAATGTCAAGCAAAGTGATAGAACACGAACTGCTTCAAGTTTCTGAGAAAGAATTTGACTATTCACACAGGCAATTACACCAATATTAGAAGGTAATGGCATATTATAGCTAATTATTTTTTGACGATACAAAGCACAGTTATTCTGCTCTGAATCACAACGGAACAGCTGAAATCACCATCTCCTACACCTCTGACTTCTTCATGATAGTCTGGAGCCAAAATTCTAAAAATACTTAGATGTATATTTTCCCAGATCTGCAAGCCAACAGACTTTTTTACGAGACAGTGGTTTTTGAAAGTAGGGAGGATAGAGAGGAACAGAAAATAACTTTGAACTGATTAATCTGAATTTTGGGGGATTAATGAACATGAGGAATTTTATGAGTAATAGTTACACTAATTCCAAAAGGACAAGTTTGGACAAAGCAAAGAATGTTACTTAACAATTTAAATAATTAAAATGTTTGTCTGTGAAAAGGGCTAAGAATATCCATACTGTGAAGATACAGAAACTATTTACATTAGCTATGGTTTGTGCACTAAGCAAAGGGGGAAGGTCTTCAAGATCAACTGGATGTCCATTTATCATTTAAAATAATGTGGGAAACAAGGACGGAGTACTTAGAGTGAAAGGATGATGTAATCAACAAACCAGATCATCTCTTGTTGGCTGAATAGTATTGCCAAACATCAAACTGCATTAGAAAATGAACAGCAAAGTAACAAAAACATGGCTAACGTCTCTTAGAGCAAAGGAGACTCTGCAGTCAGTATAGGGAAAAGATCAGAGATTACCTGGCTGCAGCCCCTGAAACTAACACCCTTTTATAGACCCATGCTGAGACATTATCTGGAATACAGTGTACAATTCCCTAACATCATCTTCAGAGAACATCTTAAGTGGAACAAATACAAAGCATAAATGTCAAGGAGAGAAAACAGTTATTCTAAACAGGAAGCTCGCTGCAGATGAGTGTTGGCTAGAAATGAAGGCTCAGAGGAGAGAGGCTCTGTAACAGGTTTTCAGGAAAGGTAGCAAGAACAAGCAGGTTGAGTCATTCTGAATATGGCCACAGCAAGAAATGAAATCCTTCTCAGTTCCCAAACCTGACGATCTCATTGGCCAGTGACACATTTGTGAGAGTCTGTTATGGATGAGATAGGGTGTATCCAAATTGGCCTGAAAATAAAGTGCTATGTTTTCAGCACCTCCCAAATGCTCAGTATCTACTTGCTCACTCCTTACCTGACTTTATTAAGCATAGAAAGCAGCATTGTAAGACTGATGGATGATGCATTGCTGTGTGAGTATTTCAGGAGAACAAGAATTGTGGAATCATAGAATCCTTGAGGTTGCAAAAGGCCTCCAAGGTCCAACCATCCACCCACCACCAATATTTCCCCACTAAACCATGTCCCTCTGTACAACATCTAAACGTTTCTTGAACGCCTCCAGGGACGCTGACTCCACCACCTCCCTGGGCAGCCTGTTCCAGCACCTGACCACTTTTTCAGAGAAGACTATTTTCCTAATATCCAAAGTGATCCTCCCCCTGAACTGCAACTTGAGGCCATTCTTTATTGTCCTGTCACTACTTATGCAGAAGAGGCTGACTCCCCACCTTATTGCATCCTCCTTTCAGGCAGTTGTAGAGAGCTATAAGTTCTCTCCTGAGCCTCCTCTTCTCTGGACTGAACAATCTCAGAAAAGAAATGATGGGGTAGGACTGAAATGGCAGTGCCAAGGTATGGGTGACAGGGAACAGGCCAATCTGTCTGAGGAGATCTAAACAATCCAATGAAAATGGTATTGCTTGTTTCAGTTCTTCCTGGACATATGGGTAGTCCTTTGCACTGCTATGGATTAAGCAGCTGAGATTCATGCTTCTAAACCTGGAGAAGTTTGAAAGAATTCTGTGGTCATTTTTTTTATTAACAGAGTTATCTTCAGATAGGATTAATCACCAAATTATCAGAGACCACAGACACTGTGGCAGAGATGCAGTGAAGACTAGAGGACAACAGAGGACCAATGCCTACAAATACTTTCAAAATACTCATGAAGGAGACTTTGCTATAGGCAGCATATGTTTGCTGCCTGAAAACCTGGAGCATAGGCTGCAACAGCCCAAATGTTATCATCAACACAAATAAATGTATACAAACACACTGTAAGAAAGCTCAGCACTGATAAAAGAGACAGAGTATATTCTCTCTTAAATGCTTTCAACTCATGTCAGATTGAACTAGTGTTTCTAGTATCATAGCTCAGTGGGTAGAACACAAAAATCTTCAACTCATTAAAGAAATGCAAATGGAATCACTCACTATTCCCAGTACCACATCATTACCAACCATTATGAAGATGGCCTCTTGAAATGGCAGAAACCATTGCTTTCATCTGATGAATTTCATAGGACAACTCTTAGCTGCAGGACTTTCTGAATTCACAATTTTCCAACATCCATGTACCCTAAGTACCAATTTTTCTGCATTCTCAGCTCAGGTCTTCTGAATCATCCTCAATAGAATATTTGCAGTTCTGTGAAGGTGAAGCCATTGAGTTGCTATAACTAGATATTTTGTTCACTGACGAAGGAAATACCTTGTATGTTTCGTTTGCATTACTTATTACCCATGTAACTGTGGAAAAAAGGAAAAGTGAAAGCATAGCCTTGTCTCAGCACCTAGTCTGCATCCTGAATAT